CTCCCGCGAGAATGGTGGGTCATGACATGATGCTATTTGGACAGGTAATTGAGACGCAACGCCTGTACATTTCCCCCTCTTCAGCATGTGACAGCGCGACTTCTGTGCCCTGAACCAATCCGACACAGAATCCCGAAAATCAAAGCGTACTTCCCTCGGGCAGTGTTTGATGCAATTTGGATTTTTCTATTGACTGACAAGAAGGTTGGGAGTGCATTGCCGCAGCATCACGTCGAGGCATGGAAGGGAATATCGGTCAAGGAGGTCGGTCGCTCAAAACAGCACATCTGGTGACTTTCCAGACGCAGCCAAGTTGAGCTGAATTTCCCCTGCCATTAGCACCGTAAGTATAGTGTACGCACGAGGGACTCAACCAGGTCAGCCCAGGTGATTAATCAGAGAGCTTCGAGAACGAGCCACAGGCGCCTTTATTTCCTTCACTTGCAGCAATGAAGATAGCATCATCCAAACCAGGATGAAGACAATTCGGTTCTTGATCAATCGTGTCGGCGATCAGGTCTCAGAGCTCCTTCACCCCTGTCCCTGCCGCTCGCCATCATCGATGACCTGCTACATTTAGAAAATGGGCGGGGAACCAGGACGGGTCAGGCCGAGCTGAGCGCAAGCTTTGGGTATACACGTATCCCTCCCAGTGTAGGTCGCTGGACTGCTCCCACAGATTAGCGACCATACCTGCGCCCTTGCTTCTTTCTTTTCATCAATTCCCCTACAAGGTGGGAAACTGTTGATATTCCCAACCGTCAAGAAAGCCCAGGTTCGCAATTCAATCGAAGCACAGATCTCCACACGAAATGAATGCTCTAGTGGCTGGTACATGCATGGCCAACGAAGCGTGTGGTAAGAACTTAGGGCGAACCCCACTGAGAATGAGGAGGATGGTAATATATTGGCCACCTCCGGTGGGCAGACTACTTCTTGGTCGGAGCCACTCAATCGCTCCCTTCTGTGATTCCAATAATACACTGCCTTGGGCGGCCATGATATCTTCACTTCGCATGATCGGGTCAGCCGAAGAACAGCGGGAGAACATTCTACGGCTTGAAATAAGCTCGCCGACTCTAGGGTCACCGGTAAGCCGGCGATGTTAAGTCAGCCGGAAGAAGATTTGTGATGCGAGTACAGAGTGACCCGGTTTAAATAAGCGAGTTCCCCGGGCTGAACACGATTTAACGGGAGTCCCGACCCGCGTCATCGTGTACCATTGGCCCAATATCCTGTCTCATGCCCCCGTATCTGTTACCATTTCAGATCAAGGTACATGGTCATCCAATGGGAATCCCGATCGGGGATTGTAGAGAGCGATCCATAGGGCTACTGCACAGCCCAACGTTTAATGCAATTGCCGGTGGAGATGTCTTCCGAGCTGACTGCAAAATTCTGCGCAGTTGTTTATTGGTATCTGCTGCGGCAGACACTGCCCTCGCAAGTCGGCGTTCTCGGACCTGATCATAGCCCATAGTTGCTGCTGATCCAACTTGAACGTCAGGACTGGAGCTGATTGGGTGGGAACCGGAGGCAACATCAGCCCAACACCAGTGGTTGGAGTTCCTCAGCGAATAAGCGGAAGCAACCCTCCCGCCTTTTCCGGTCGTAGGATCATTGCTTGATTGAATCTGTATGTCTCAGCTATCATGCATCGTAGCGCATCCTTCAATATATAACAGGGAGGGCAGCCGCTGGATGCACGTGGACTAGATCGGCATGCTTGTGCAACCCTTTCAAGAACTAGTATTATATTATTACACCACCCATCCACTACATTACAAACCCTTTTCAACTTTATCATCACTCTGCAGCTTTGAAACATAGGCCCGATCACAAAACCCACCCAAGATGTCAAGGACTATCTTCGACTTCTATCCCGAGTACGCCGCCACCGAGAAACTCGACCTGCTACGACAATCCCCCTACGGCTACTCATACCTCGATGAGCAAGGCCATATATACCTAGACTATGGCGGCGCTGGCCTGGCATCTCGAGCCCAACTACAGGCACATAGCGCCCATCTAACGTCAGTGACACTCGGCAACCCACATTCCGTCAACCCCACCAGCCGAATGTCCAGCGAACTCATCGACAGGACGCGGGCAAAGATACTCAGCTTCTTCAACGCTTCCCCCGATGAATATGCCGTCGTCTTCACCCCCAACGCATCCGGAGCGGCACGCCTGGTAGGGGAGTCATATCCGTTTGGGAAGCACTCCAAGCTCGTCATGACGGCCGATAACCACAACTCTATACACGGGCTACGCTGCTTCGCCCACAGAAAGCGAGCCAGTCACGTTTACGTCCCGGTGACGAACGCGGATGAGCTTCGTATTGACACCGAAGCCGTGGAAGATGCCTTGCCATCTCTGAAAGAGAGACGGTTTTTCAAGCGATCAGATCGCAGTCTCTTCGCATTTCCCGCCCAGAGTAACTTCAGCGGCGTGTGCCATCCTCTCTCCTGGGTGAAGCTCGCTCAGGACCGGGGCTACGACGTCCTACTGGACGCCGCGGCGTATCTCCCAACCAAGAGGTTGGACTTCTCGGTTATCAAGCCCGAGTTTACGATCGTGAGCTGGTACAAGGTCATGGGTTTCCCTACGGGCGTTGGCTCTCTCATTGTACGGAAGGATGCCTTGGCTCGCCTGCAGCGGCCTTGGTTCGCCGGCGGCACAGTCAAGGCCGCCACTGTCAGTCTTCCCTGGCAGCTCATGACAACCGACGAGTCTTCTCTCGAGGACGGGACACTCAACTTCTGGGCTATTCCAGACATTCATATCGGTCTTGATTGGCTTGGCGAGGTCGGGATGGATATAATCTCACTTCGGGTACAGTGTCTTACAGGATATCTCATTCGCAAACTCATGTCTCTCCATCATGCCGATGGCCGCCCGATGGCGCGAATTTATGGCCCAGAAAGTACGGAACTCCGGGGCGGAACGGTTGCGTTCAACCTGCTCGATTCAAACGGACAGGTTTTCGATGACCGAATAATAGCCAAGGAGTCCGCTGCATATGGCATCTCGCTCCGTACAGGGTGCTTCTGCAACCCCGGGGCGGGGGAGGCAGCTTTTGGCATTACCAAGTCCGCGCTCGAGCCTTTGAGGAAGCTCAAGGGCGACCCATCCATGGATGAGATTCTAGAAATCATCGGGCTCGGCTCTTTTGGGGCGATTCGAGTGTCTTTGGGTGTCGCGTCCACAGTCAAGGATGTCGACATTTTCCTCACTTTCGCTGAGAAGGTGTACAAGGATAGAACGAATGACACTTCGGGACTTGAGCCTCGACATGGTTGCTGATTGGCCTCGGATTCTGATTTAGAGAGGGAGATTGATTTCAGGACCCTCTGGGGTGACTTGGGAGTTGTGGCATGGATAAAGCAAGGTGCATGAAGTCATGAGCGAGCGATTCCTTTTATTGGCTTAATTTAAAGATCATAGAATGTAACTTTTTTAACTTCAAATTCATATTCGGACTGTACAAAAAATTACCACTTTACTAATACATTCATTGACCATGAGCAAGATACTAGCTTTAAGCAGCGTCGGGGGTTTTGTCTTCAACCCACTTATACAAGAGATCTGTTCGAACTGTGAACTTCTCACCCTTGAGTACCTCATTTCCCGCATGAAGGAGTCCTTTGTGCTGGAAGACCAACACACTGCCCGCTTTGGGGTTCACATCAATCCGACGTTGCTTGTCCCATGACAAAAAGCTTGTGGCACCACCCTCAAGCTCGCTTTCCGGTGATATCTCGGCGGAGTCATTCAGGTAAAGGTGAAATGTATATTGAGTTTCAAACCGCGTTCCATCCTCCTCGTAGTAGTAGGGACCATCGCAATGTGCTGAGGCTGGTCAGTAAGTGTGCAACACCAGTAGCTCAGAGAACTGGTATGACTTACGCCTAAAGTATTGACCCGGAGAGTACTTCAGAAAGCGCATTCTCTTGTTTATGCGGCTAAACTCCCATCGTCCTGGATTTTGACCAGATCGGTGACTCATAACAGCCAGCTGGTCTTTCAATCCCTCCGCTTGGCAACATCGCGCCCACAAACGGTCGGTGATCTCCTGGCTGTCCCACACGATTCGGTCGCTCTCTCTATATCCTGGAGCGGAAGCCTCGAGGCCGGGCGCGAGCGATACAGTGGCAGGTCGCCAGACGCTCTGGTCGGGGTCGCCTTCGGCAGCCGGGAGCGCTGATTGTTCGGCAAGTTGTTTTAGCTGGGCGCACTCCTCTGGCGAGAGCACGTTGTCAATCGTGACGGCGAAGCATTTTTTATATTCCGGCACAGGAGAAGATGCGAAAGGGACAGGTTTCAACACGACCGGTTTTGGTGAAGGGCCCTCCAGGAACTTGTCAGGGATTTTGACCTCGTTCGACTTGTATTTCACGACACGGGCTTTTTGCAGGTGCATCATTCGATAGTGCCCCAGTGATTGACACACAAATCGTGGCCGATTAATTCGAGGAACGGCAAATGGGTAAGCAACAGAAGGGAGAAGCCTCATTTTCTAGGCAGCCACCAATTGACTTTACGATGGGATGGATGGAAACGCATTGAGAGGACGAGTAAAAGAGAAGCAAAAGAAAACAGGGTTGCCTAAATTGAGTCACCAACAGCATAAGATTCTCCATCAGACGATCACGTTGGGCACTGCGCCTCAAAGCCAGCTGTGGATGAGGCTTCATAGCGGGGAACAGCACTGAGCAATGACCCATGACTCAATTTACAGGCGGTTTCGCCTGGAAGCAAAGCCTTCCATTTAGTGCTGATCCAGCTTACAAACTGACTTCCCAGCTTGTCCACATACCAGTCGATCTGAGGCCATTCAAGGAGAAAGAAAGAGTATTCTAATGAATTGGTGATGACATACTCTAACATCTCCTGTGAATGGTCTACAGCTAATTCAAATCAAAGCTTCTCTTGAGCTTTCAAAGTCTTGCTTTCCCATGGTGCGACCCGCCTCACGCTGGAAATTCAGATTCCCCTCCTTACGCCACAACGAACAGCCCATCAACCTCCACGAAATCAGACAAGTCGTCCATGAGCCTATCCGCACAGTTCAAGTAGCCAGTCAGGTGAGAGACATATATTCTGGTTTCCGTGAATTCATGTGATGTTCTTCGTAGTCTGTCAAGTGCATCCTTTCCGTTGGACTGCAGCTTCGGATCTCCTCCCTTCCGCACAATGGTTTGGAGAAGTCCACCTCTCTTGTCTATATCAGGCTGATACAACTCCACAAAGTGCCATCTAGAGCTCTGTTCCAGATCCTTTGTCTCCTCGTCAATGATATCGCATACAGCGTGTAGAACGGTCCGGGAAGATTCGTCTCCATGTTCTCGGAGGTTAATGTCTGCGCCAGCTTGAATAAGGTGGTCGATCAGTACTTCGGCACTCTCATCTTCGTAGGTAAACCCAGAGTTAGCACAGTCTAGTATCAGATTGTAGAGAACCGTGCTTCTCTCAGCAGTGTTCCGATTCTTCAACAGAACATCCAATATCACCAACCATCGCGATAGGCCGTCATTATAATAAGTTGCGATAGGTTCATGCAGCATAGTCTTGAGAATGCTGCGAAGATCGACCGCCCCAGCGTTTTCTGCAAGAAGCCAGACCACGGCGAAAAACTCATCAATAACGAAATGGCCTACCCCCCATTTACCGAGAAGAGACTCCAAGGCCTTACCGATCTGGAAACAATCGGTGTTGAGATCCATGTTTAGGAAGGACGTCGGATTTTCTGCCATTTGGTGAACTTGGTTCAGAATCAAGGACACCGCATCGAATGGTGAGAGCTTGTGAACGGCCCTCCAATCAATGACCGCATCAAGATAAGCAGTCAAGGGCGAAATCAGTATCGGAGAGCCGGAAGATTCGTGGGCAAGAGTTATATTAGTATCAATAGATGCGCCATACTCCAGGCACAGTTGCAACATTTCCGTCGTCTGGAACTCAGCCATGGCGTGAGCAGCACCAATGATTGGTACTTCGAAGAGTGAACTTGCACGGAGTTTACATTTCTTTGCATTCACATCCGCCCCCATCTCCAATAACAGCTTGAAAGTTTCCTTCGCTCCAGTCATCGCGGCGGCCGACAGTGCACTCAAACGCATACCACCTGCCTGAACGTGGCTGGGGTTCGCCCCATGATCCAGAAGGAGACGCACTGTCTCGGGCAATGCCCTGTTGATAATAGCTTGCACGAGGCAATTGTTTGCAATTGGAATGTTTGGTACCTGTGCAGCCGTGCCGGATATGAAAAACTGGTGCAGCATTCTTGCATGCTCAACCTGGAGGGCCTTGACAATACAAGGCATTTGCGATTGGATGAATTTCTTATCAATCTCAATGTCAACCCGTGCTCCCAGCTTCAGGAGGAGCGCAAACGCGCCCGGCTGCATCTTCTTGGCCGCGAGATGCAGTGTAAGCACTTTGAATGGCTCTGGTCCGTTCCATATTGTCACCAGGCTCGGTGACGCGCCGAAGGTATCAACAGCTAGTTTGATGGTCTCGATTAGGCCACGTTCGCAGGCAACGCGCATGATTCTATCACATGATTCCTCTTGCGAGTACAGTCTAGGCTCAAATCGGCGTCGAAGGGCGTTGTTACATCGAATAAGTCGCGCTTGGGTGATGTCGGCTTCACGTGGTTGGAAATATGTGAAAATCGAATCCAGAATTTCATTTGGTAGGTAGGCCAGATGCAGGGCCATCTTGAAGGAATGCTAATATCTGAGTTGAGCGATTAAGTGACCTACTATCATTTGGCTGAATACAATGTTGCTCTCTAACTAAATATATGAAGCGTTGGCACTGCTCGCCGTTCAACGCAAGGCATACTCGCCGGGTGAGTCAGTGGCTTTCATCTAGTCATCCATGAAATGAGATTTGATAGCCTACTACCGAGAAAGCTGAAAAGCCTCGACATGGCTTACCAAGCCTCAGACTAACGTTCAAGCATCTCGCCTGTGGAAGATGGCCTTGGTGATTTGTACTATATGGAGGCGCAATATTTTGCCTTGTTGTGAAATAAGCTCTTCCTGTGGTGACCAATCACCAAACCCCTTATTTTCACGACTCTGTAGACTTGGATTACTGTTTCACGGCATCGCTGAGGTACCTGAGTCAAGTTCATGGAGAGAGGTATAGGGTAGCTCAAAGTGAAGACGGAGTTTGTCCGTCCCCCATAAAATCTTGACGCAGTCATCTCCGTCTTCGGAATTTCCCCGCTATCAATCCTCTCTGGTTACTGTCAGAGCTGAACGAACAAGAAGCCTTGATTCCTGTCCCGATAACGTGGGGATATCCATTTATCTCACAGTAATGTCCGAAAAGACCCCAGATAGACGGGAATCCCGTCGAAGTCGCCGTCTCCGCTTGGCATGTGCCCGTTGTCAGAAGCGGAAGATCCGTGTCAGTGTTCAGCAGAGAGAAAGCAATATTCCCAGCGCCCAGGCTGACCAACTTTTAGTGTGATGGCCAGTATCCGACCTGCAATAATTGCAAAAAGGCCTCAGTTGTGTGTAGTGATGGCGATAGTCTCCGTCTCGGCCATGTGCCGTCGGATGATGAGGTCGTCGCTGGCTTGAAACAACGAATAGCCACTCTTGAGGCAGCGCTTCAAGAACGAGGGATTGAAGCGAGTGATCCACTGATTTCAGAGAAGGACCCATCTTCCACACTTCCGGTATCAGCGACGCCTGCTCCTCGGTCCCATACGTCCCATGCACCTGCGTTTGGAAGCACCAGCAGCCCATTGTCGCATGAGATCGGGTTGGTATCGGTTGGCAACAGCACTGCGCCACGGTATATTGGGCCATCGAGTGGTTACTTCCTGGCTAGATTGTTGATGAACACCTCGCGAAGTGATGCAGGCGAGAAGGATCGAGGAACCAATACTCTGGATGGCCAAGGGCAAACTTCTCGTACTGAATTCACCCCTGATCTTTTCAACTCTCCCCACGACAACCAAACTCCCCTTCCCCACCACAAGCATGCAAAGCAGCTATGTGATGCATATTTCAACGCAGTCGGCTCACAGTATCCGATTCTCCATCGACCTTCGTTGATGCATAACCTTGACCAGCTTTATGCAAAGGAAGGGACTGATAACCAGCAAGATAACATCGTCGTTTTTCAGGTGTATATGGTTTTGGCCTTGGGCGCCACGGTCTTATCACATCGGCTTCAGGTTCCTCTTCCAGCGGACAAATATTTCGCGACTGCGTTCGATCGATTTGAAAGAATTAATGCCACTCGTACCAACTCCTTACCGGGTTTACAATGTCTGCTTCTGTTGCTCGTATTTACAATGCACAACCCCCATGTTAAGTTGAATATTTGGTATCTCAACTATCAATGCATTGCTGCCACACTGGACTTGGGTCTTCAGAGAAGCATACTGGCAAGTAACACGATGTCCTTGCTGGAACAGGAAATGCGGACTAGGGTTTTCTGGGTTGTTTTCATGCTTGACCGAACGATTGCTACCATAATGGGCCGCCCAATAGGTGTAAGAGACGAGGCCTGCGAATTAAGAGTAAGTTCCCAAGAAACTCAGCCTAGGCTTATACCTGGAGGTCAGCTAACCATTGTCAGTACCCCCAACTTATTGAAGACGAGGACTTGCTCGGTAACCAGCCATTGAACGGCGACAAAAGTAACCAAGAGCCAAATTACCTGGAATTCTCACTTCATCTCTTCAAACTAGCCCGTCTGAACTCGGAGATCAAATACGTGGCCAATAGTATAGTGAGGGACACTCCTGTTTATGCGTACCCCCCTCCAACGAACATAAATGATTGGCAGACCGGTATGATCCGACAGCTCGATGATTGGGCTGAGAGCATCCCTACATCAGCCGACGAGAGAGGGTATATGAGAACTACGTGCGAGATACGCTACAACTCTTTAATGATGCTACTCTTGCGGCCTAGCCCGGCGCTCCCAAACCCATCCATACAATCACTCAGACGATGCTATGCTGCTTGCCAAGACTGCATCCGCCTTTTCAATCGTCTGTATCGCGACGACCTCCTGGTTTACAGTTGGGTTACTTTTCATTCTTTGCTCCTCAGCATCGTCACTATGCTCTATTGTGTTCGTGCTGCCCCGAGCATTGCTGCCACGACTGAGCCAGAGAGGTTCATGAGCGATATCTATGCTGGTCTGAATATTCTTAGCGCTGCTGGAGAGTACTGGCCTGGGGCGAAGAGAAGCCGCAACGTATTGGACGATTTGGCACAAGATGTTCTTCGGTGGGTCAAAGAAATGAGAAAAGCACAAGATCTTGCAGGCGGCATGACACTGGACGCCGATTTACAGAGCGCGATTCCCGGTGATGTGGCAGCGGCTTCTCAACCAACCTCAACAACGCAAGTGTTCGGAAATGAGACATCCGAGAATGTTCTGAATTCCGTTCCAACAGATGTGGAAATTGCGTATCTGGATCAACCTGATTCGATAATGGCGGGAGGCACAGAGGACTGGTGGGGTGTATCATCGATGGAACAATTCGACAACATCGATAGCATTATGCACAACTTCTTCACAGATTTTAGCCCAACTTCTGGGCTGATGTAAAATAGCTGTACAATGAAATTCAGAACAAGGTTTCGAAGAGGAATGTTCGAGATGAAGGCCAGCGGAAACGAGGTTTCTGGCTGTTTTGTGAACACCTGATGATAATCATCGCAGATTCAAGAGCACCCATCACTTCCGTCTTTCTTTTCAGAACGGCATGTGTTATTGAAGCTATTTTTTTAACTTCACATCGAGTAAGAAAACACATCAATGCGCGACCGAACAAATTCTCTACTTACAACTTGACGGAGGTTGACGGAGGTTGAAAGTTACGGGTAAACCGGTCGTATTGACTAAGAGAAAGCGAGAGAAGAGAGATACGTAAGTGGCGCAGTTGGTTGCCAATCAGAAGCCCGCATGAAAGACTGTGACATTTGATCCCTTCCGTCACCAAGACCCCGCATGACTTGACCTTCTATTCAGTCAGTCAAAAAGCTTTTCTTTGAGGAGAGATACACCATCATTCTAAGCATTGGAACCCTGCGCCAAGATTGATCAGTTTATCAGTCATATCCAATGGCATTCCGCATTGCTCTTAGAGCTTCTGCAGCTATTTGTGCTACAACCGGCATCATAGATCTTCTCCTAGGTCCTAACTTTCTACTCAAGACTTGCGGGGCCCCTCCTTTCCCAAGCGGTCACCCTGTTGTGGAAAGCCAGTATCGATTCTTCGGTGGTATATGGGCAGGCTACGGTGCGATGATATGGTGGGCGAGTAACGATGTTAAGGCTAGGCGAGCCCCTCTTGCTCTACTGGGTGGAATAATGATGCTGGGCGGCGCAGGACGACTGCTAGCTGCATTGCATCATGGATTCGGCGAACCTCTAATGGCGGTCTTCGCAGGCATTGAGATACTGGGTCCTGTGATACTAGGCCTACTGAGCCAGAGTACTGCTTATGAGGTAGAGAACAAGTCAGATTGAAAGTGGAAGGGTTTGGGAACAATCACTTTTTTGTACTATTAGTATACTCTCTCCACTCATTTCGTGCCAGTATATCGCCAGACAGAGCTACTATGATCGTTTTCTTCATGTCGACACCTTGCCATTCTTGAGCGAACCACTCTTGGCAGTTCCTCCACCAACAGTTGGGTTACGAGCCAACCTATTCTCGCCGTTGTTAACGACAAATGTTGCGATAATATCCTCTTTCGTGTTCCTCGTTTTAACGTCAGGGATACCGAAGAATGTCGCCGTGAGGCTGTCGTAGCCGATATCCATCTCGTAATAGCCCCTGAAATACAAATCCTGCCACTGCAGCTCGTCGTTCTTCTTTACGAGCCAAGCTGATGCCAAATTTGTCAGAAAGTTGGGCAGAACATTGCCGATAGGGCTTTGCGATGACACGGCCGAACCGGCCAGCTCCACGCCAATGGCCCCATCGCCGCTGTTCTTGTCATAGGGCCGGTCACCTTCATCACCGGTGACCCAGGCAAGGTCAGATACCCACGAGGCATGAGAGTCTCCAGACATGATGATTGTGTTGTTGATTTGGTTGTCATATAAATGGCTGAAGACCCGGCGGCGGTTTGCCAAATAGCCATCCCACTGGTCCCGGTTGAACCCCTCGGTGGTGAAGAAGCCGAAGGTCACATGGCTAAAAACCACCTGTTGGCCGACCAAACGCCAAGCCGCCCCTCGATTGGATGACTGGGAGAGCTGGTCGTAGAACCAGGCTTCTTGGTTGAACCCCATAATGGTGCGGTTCTCCTGGTCGACGAGCTTCTCTACCTCTCCTGAGTTACCTCCAATGCCTGCAAAGCCTCCCAAAACCGTCAAATCACGACTGTATTGGCGCGTATCGAGCATCATCAAGTCAGCCAGGGTCCCAAGGGAAAATGAGCGCCAGATTCGCAGACTATCGTCCATCTCAACTTGGCGGATTGGCATCCACTCAAAGTAAGCTCGAACGGCGGCCTGTTTACGCTTGACGAAAACCTCGCCGTCGGAGTTAACAGAGCCTTCGCGCCAGGAGTTGTCGGCGACTTCGTGATCGTCCCACACTGGGATCCATGGGAACTTTTGATGGGAAGCAAGGAGGTCTTGGTCAGTGCGGTATGTGGCGATGCGCTTGCGATAGTCATATAAGTCGTATGTCTCTCGATCGGGCTCCGGATTACGAATACTAGAGTCACCTTTGTATTCGTAGATGTAGTCCCCTAGATGAAGGACATAGTCGACCGAGTCCTTGCTAACCGGGTTGCCGTACGCGTTAAAGTATCCCTCAGCTAGATAGTACGAGTAAGTACTGGTGCCACAAGCATGCCGCTCTGAAGACTCACGGTAATTGCTGCAAGAGTAGACGGCCAATCTAATGTTTTTCTCAACTTTGGTGTCTTTGCTTGGAACCGTCTTCGTGCGACCGACAATACTCGTCTTTGCCGAGTTACAGACGTTGAATTGGTAGTAGTATGTGGTAAAGGGCTTCAATCCTGCGGCCTCAAACTGCCAATTCAATCACGTTACTTCAAGGTCGATTGGTACTAGATACTTCTATAACGTACCTTGATAGTGTAGTCAACGTCACTAGTGGTATAGGCAGTGCCTTTATCCACGATGTCTGTGAGCTTCTCATCGCTGGCAATTCGGAACTCAACACAAGCAGACTTCTCGCTAGGCTGGTCTGCTTCTGGGTGATCGTAGATCGGAACAACTCCTTCGGGAACGGTGTCAGATGCCGTGTTATTGGATGATGGGGCCAATCGAGTCCAAATGATGACAGAATCGGCCAGAGGGTCACCCGAAGCTACACCATGAGTGAATTCTAGCCCATCAGGAGTGTAGAGTTCATCAGCTGCTCGTGTAGCTAGATGGCTGGCGGGGACCGCTAACGTGGGATGGCGCCGGGACGGACTCAGATAAGCCAAATTGTTGCTGTGCAAAGATGCGACGGCTCCATGAGCGGCCGCAAGGCCAATCGCCACTACTGGTAGCATGTTAACAAGCATAGCCTAGATAAACCAATATTGCTAAAATGGAGAAGCCTCATCCTCCATTTGCACTTGGAAACCTCGATGCCTGCCTTCCTAGGCCTATATTAATATACATTGCCTTGTTGCCCGGCATGTGTTCGCGGGGGGTACATTCCTGGGAGCCGAGCTTGAACCATCCTCATCCTATACGCACGTGGGCTAGAGACAGGGGGTCAAATGGAATGCTCAAATTAGACAGAACTTTTTGAACCGCAATGTTCTGGTGCGCGTCATCGGCCCCTTTGAAAGGTGGACTAAAAGCAAGCTTTGCATATGAACATCTCAGCTCGGAAGTCCAATTGGGAAGGTCCTACGATGATTGCAATCATCTGAGGTGGTATTGGCTAGCCAAGAAACTCTTTTCCCCCGATTTAATGTGCTGATGACGGACACTTGTACCGAGCCCCCGCTCTTCGGTACAACCTTTCAGGCACGCCAACGCGGGAGTTTCCATTTGGAACTACTATACTGGCAGGTCCGGCTTTAGAGGGCTCGTATACACAATTCTGGATATTTGTGCGATTGGATCACGGGTGTTGGTGCTCAAATCAATTGAATTCTTGTTCGACGGTGGCTCTAGTTATTTAGCTAGAACTCCCAGCATGTGCCCTGTCATTTGGCACATGTTTTTCTACTGTCAAGGTTCTTTCGTTGTTCGTAAACAAGACTTCAGGGGAAACATATCGCCCTCAGAAGTTTAATTTTCAGCTTCCTAACATTCGGGTGGAGAACCCAAGGAGAACTGAGTGCCTAATCAAGGCGCATGGCTGTCAGTAGAAACCATATTGTACGATTGTCAGGTGTTACTGAAGAGGATTGGTTTTGGTTTAAGATTCTAGGCCATCTGTTCTTAATTGGAATAAGATACTTCAATTGCGTTGCTACGTGTATATAATAGAAGTAGCAATCGGCGTGGTTAAGATCAAGGTCGACTATGGGCGTTGAAGAACCCGATAATCTCTGGCGATATCCAAATTTGAGGATTGGCTTGGCCGGGATATTCGTGACTTTGTCCTTCCATTTTGAAATGCCGTTGCAACCCCTCCGTGCCATCACATGTCCAGCGCTGTTCAGTCAGCCCATTGCCTTTATCGATAGTCTCAGAATCTGTGCACTTGTTTCTGGTACCCCAGCGAGAGAGCCAATCCGGTATGGCCGGAAGCTTTCCACCAACTCCATCTCCTCCGTTGTATGGGATGGTAGTGTCAGCAGTACCATGAGACTCTAACATAGGCAGAGGTGAACGCGAAGGGCTGCAAGTTTCGTCCCCAGAGAGATCAGTGTAGAGCGCAGATGCGACTCCAGCAAATGCCGCAAATTGCCCACCATGATCGGCAGAACAAGCCAAAAGCCCTACGAAGCCACCGCCGTTGGAGTGCCCTGTGGCGTAAACGCGCTTCTCGTCGATGCAGTAGCTCTCTTTGATAAGCTCGATCAGGTCAGTGGTGAAAGCTGCACCATCGACCCCTTCGATAGCATATGACGGGCCCTGCCAGCTTGCCTATATCACAACCAATCAGCCTTCAAGCTCAAAACATAGAAGCCGTGTTTCTCTTACATTTACTCCTGCAGGATAGACAGTCACCATGCCCGGGTTGACTTCTTCATTCGAGAACTGAGTGCCGCTCTCGAATCCGGCGGGGCTTCCGCCGCGGCCAAGGTATGCAACCAACAAAGGTTGGGGATTGTCCACATCATATCCAGAAGGCAGATGGATTCTATAGTCTCGGTCCCTTCCCCCGCTCAATAAAGTAAAGTCCCGGGACTCACCAATAAAGTCGTGTGGTTCCCCGCATCCTCGTGAAGCACGACTATCTATATCGATTGGATGCGTGTGTACGCCTAAAAGATGAAATAGAACAAGGACACATCGAAGGAAAACAAGTCTGATTCGTGAAAAAAACATCATGAGACAGCTTTAACTGATCACTGTAGTCGACTATTACGCACATTTATTCAGCAGCGGCGACCGGCCGCTTTAAATATCTTGCCGATGCTACGCCGTTTCGTGGTAGTGCTGGCGATCATCCTCGAGATCTCTTGAATAGGGAGCCGGTCCATAAAAGATCGTGTCATCGGCTGGGAAAACAATAGCCTAAATGAGATACGTGCGCCTTTCTCCCGCGCCAAGGTCACATGTGTCTGTCTATTCTTAGGTGGAGCTTTTGCGGTGTTTATGAAGTATACCCATCGGCATGACTTTATAGTGAAAGAAGACGTATACCAATCATGGTTTAAATAGTTCTCACGGTTTCAACTCTGTGTCAAGGCGGTAGAGGAAGAGTTTTGTTTCTGTCACTTTAATACATGAGTTCCTGTTCGATATAACTACCAGACATATGGAGGAGACAAGAATTCTTGTGTCCAGAATGACTGCCCATACTCGATACCTGGACTGAAGAGTCGAAAAGCCAAGGCCACGATTTAAGCTTCCACGGGCCTGCTCTGTGCGTTGTTCTGCCCCCAACGAACTGCGACCTCAATGGAGAATTGTCCTGCTGGAATTTGTAGCCACGTCTGTCGTGGTTGTTGATTCCAGCTCTTGATGACCTTGATCAGGAATGCGACAAACAATGCAACGAGAAGATTTCTATACCAGTTTTGTCAGTAACATCATCCGGACAACTTGGGGCAGTACTTTATGGAACCAACTTACGCTACAATGAAGGCAAAACCGAAGTGAATCCAGTTGATAATCGCGACCGCTGTGATAATAGCTCTACACTCATCGATTGTCCCTGGATATCCATAATCAGGGTTATCGAGATAGTCGGGACATTTAATTGGATTGTAGAAGCCCGAAGTGTTCACTTCATCAAGCACACAAACGTAGAGGAGAATTGCAACATAGGCCAAGACGAATACACTCAGGAAGGGCAAGAAAGGGCGCTTCTTCTTTCTGAGCATGTAGATGTTTGTGACAGTGAAGGCCGTTACAAAGATGTTCTACTGAGGCAATCAGAATCTCGAGACTAGATTATCACAGCCTCTAGTGAGGTGAGAGCTGGGTGTTCTTGAGAAAGACAAACTAACCACCAGGAGATATGTAGGCCAATAATACATGAACCAAAAGCTGGATGTGCCAAAACGGGTGCTGCAATATTGGCGGATTAAGAAATCGGCGCAGAGGATCACAAACTCCAGTATCCCGATGATCAGCGTAATTGTCACCATTCGTAACAGAGCCTTGTCGATTGGCTGTATCGAGCCATCATTGTTGACAGGCTCACCTTGATTCTCCGCAGATACATTGACAGGCAGCTGAGTGCTACTGTCCACCTCGTGCGTCAGCAGCGGGGTTGATTCATTTGGAGATGCTGGCGTAGACATGATGGTTGGTCCTGGGTTCTCTGTCCAGAGATTGAGCCGCAGAGGCAGGTAATCAATAAAGAGGACAATAAGTAAAAAGGGAGAAATTGCCACCAGACGCAAAACCAAGGTAGCGAGCAGCGAGTTGCAACCTGTCACTGAGCTGTCTGGCCACGGTGGCCGTTGTTTCACCCCTTGCTAGCCGCAACTGCGCCGCACGGGGCTGACGCTCATTTGATACCAAAGCCGTGGGGATGCCGCCACGCCCAGATCAATGATGTGTTCAATTGCAGAGGTGATTTATGGAAGGACAGTTTGTCAGTATTTGTAGTGGTAGAGAAATGACCACGAAGGGTCGTGATAGACCTCGGAAGAGAGGTCTATGTCGAAGGTGAATTTTCTCTTGATTCTTAGCATCCCCAATGGAGAAGAGTCTTTGACAATTTGTCTAACCACAAACATTACCTTATGCAAAGAAAACTGCGCTAAATTGAGCACACCTACAAGCCAGAGATCAACAAGCTTAACAAGGACTAAGGCAACCGACTTAGGGTGAATACTAAAATGTTAACCGCATTATCTTTAAAAGCGAAGAAATACGGAGCTCAAGATTAAAGAAAATATGTCCAAGAGACAGGCAGATTGATGCTGAGGTTCATTGCTGTGCCAGGCTCGTTCATGTAAAGTGTGGCGAGAGACGAGCAGGGGCTTTGCTCACAACCACCAATGGCATCAGGGGAATCTACATGGCCCCCCAATACTAACCTAGAATAGCTCGCCGAGGAACACAGCCTCCTGCTTTATAAGATCCAACAATACTACAGGACTTCAGCGAAGTAGCTTGTTCTACTATGAATTTGACCTATTGGTTAATCTTGAGACACTGGCTGCACTTTAAAAGCCACTAACCTGTTTCCTCCCTTTCGGGCAGGGAATCCTTCGCTTTTGCTTCCCTCTTGATTTCGATTCCCGATGTGTCCTTCTCCTATGAAGTGATTTTTTCGCCTCTTTCTCGCCTCTAACCCAGGTGCTTCATGCTTGTCGTCCGTCTTTCAGGTTATTTTTCTTCTTCTCCAGCTTTCATTTTTCTAAATTAACGTGACTTGCGTCTTTTTGACCTGCCTCCTGTCTCCCCCTCCAAATTCACCGCGGTAAGTGGTGATTGCACATGAAGCCGATGCCTTACAGTACCAGGTCTCTAGCACTGGTAGAGCAAGGCAGGACTTCCCATCCCCCCACGAAATGATGACATCAAGGATGCTACTCAGTTCGTCTTCTTCTTGAGAAACTCATTAAACCTTTCGATGATTTTAATGCCAAAATGCTTGAGTTGTGTAACACTATGGAAAACAGGGTTAAGGCTGGGGGGGAAGGTTCTATGTAACTGCTAATCATATTGCTCTCTTTTTTCTCTAGTTTACAAGTGTAAAAGATAGAAGTAAAGTCAGTCCCAAACGGCAGGAAAATCACCAAGAACAGATTCTAATTGCTAGCTATAAATCTCAGCTAGTACTAAGTAGAAACGAGTACTCTCTGGGAAACATCTTTCATTACCACATCCATTACATCAAGGAGTTTCATTTAGCCTCTACATTAGAGACTTGGGGCCACCATGTTTCTCTAGAAACCAGTCAACGGTTTGTGCAATGCCATCATCCAATGACACCTTGGGGCTCCATCCTAACACTTTCCCAGCAAGTGTGATGTCTGGCTTTCTCCTGATAGGGTCATCAACCCTCTTGGGCAGGTAATGAACAGCAACCGGCGCCTTTTGACCGAGCTTTTCCGCCACAGCTCTGGTGACCTTGTTGGCGATATCAAACACCGTCATTTCTAGGTCGCTTCCGATATTAACCGGCTTGTCATAATCACTGTTCATGAGTGCATATAAGCCCTCCACACAGTCCGTCGCATATTGGAAGCACCGCGTAGCGCTACCATCGCCGTAGATCTTCACAGGCTGGCCATCCATGGCCGCGCCAATGAAATTGGGAACTGCTCTTCCATCCTTGGAGGCCATGTACGGCCCATAGGCGTTGAAAATCCTAGCGATGCGGGTCTCCACGTTGTTCTTCAGCCGATACGAAAACGCCAGCGCTTCAAGAGTCCTTTTCCCTTCGTCGTAACACGAGCGGGGGCCGAAGCTGTTCACATTCCCACGATACGATTCAGGCAGAACGGAAATCTCAGGATCTCCGTATACCTCTACGGAAATAAATTAGTCAATAAAGTCGTGGGTAATTGATACTAGTCAGGTCACACATACCGGAAGTACTGGCAAGCAGCACTCTTGCTCGGCGCACGGTGGCTAGTTCAAGAACATTTCTAGTTCCCAGGAAGCACGTCTCTAGAATTTCGATTGGTGCTCTCTCAAAATCATCCGGGCTGGCGGGGCAGGCCAGATGGTAAATTTGTTCCAGGTCCTCCACATCCGGGAGCGGCTCTCTCACGTCGCACCTGGGACGGTCAAAAGAAAATTGGTTAGCCATCCTGTTAATAGGGAGGAGAAAGAAGCGGCTACTAACAGAATGTGCCGAAAGTTGGGGTTTGAGGCAAATTCGGCGATGTTTTCTTGAGAGCCTGTCCATAGGGAGTCCATCACCACCACGCTTTTGCCTTTCTCTAGTAAGAGTTTGACCAAGTGATGGCCGAGGAATCCAGCTCCCTAGTTCATTGTGAGATAAGAGTTATATATATATATAGAGGGAAATAACTTACTCCAGTTACAACGATTGTCATCTTCAGGAAAAATCACGCTTAAGGCTTGGCAAATTTCTAGGAATTGTAGACCAACGACGACGAGATGAAGAATCCCAAAGGCAGTGCCGACACACGTGGTTTTATTCCTTTCTAGGCAAGGTTACGCAAGTAACTTGTCTCATTCTTAGCCTCTGCAACCATGACGGTGTCGAGATTTAGCGTAAAAACCCCCAGGCCATTCAGAATGCTCATCGTGGTGTTCGCTTATCGATGTCCTACGTTGGCCGAATTATTGGTGACTGAGAATGTCAGAACACGTCAGATCCTTGACGTAGTTGTGAAACATGACCAATCGAGATTCCCGTTCAGCTGCAGTAGCACCACTCTGGGTCCCTGGAATGTCGATCCCCAACTCGATCCGGCCATTTCAGCTTCATCCTGCCAGCCACACATGGTGTTAGCGTGCCGAGGTGACAATAAACAGGCAGCTCTCCGATTCCATGCAGCGGTCAGTCCGTCCACTCAGGGCCTGTTTTAAACAGCTATACCTATGCCTTCAAACAATGTCTCCCGAACGGGTAAGGAGGGACCTCGGTTGAAGATAATCCGGAGAAAACTCCCACATTCTAGCCCAAGAATATCTCCATTGGGATGCTTCAGCTTCCTCTAAAATCTTCGAGTTCCTAAATTCAGCAAATTCAGACTAAAGATGTCGGGAGGTGCTCAAGTGTAGAATCGTAATCATATATTTAAACAACAATCTAGCCTATCGCCTCTAGTTCATGGTATCTCATCCAATAAAATTTCCAAATGTAAACGCCAACCAATTACCACAAATGCTTTGTATGCCAATCTATAGCTGTTCTTCCTGACTTCCTATTACGCCATATCACCGGCATTCTGGCGGGAAGTGGCGCTCGAGCTGGGCCTGGGGCTCCCCGGCTTCTCATCCTCGACGGGCGCTATAAATCTCGATTGCAGACTCACTGTGTGAACGGCCGGATAAAGGTCCATCACGAAATGGAAGACGTAAAAGCTGAAGACGAAGGAGATGGTCCATTCGAAGATTGCTGATAGATCTCTCTTATATTTCCTGCAAACCACAAAGCAGACGAGGAGCACCATTTCGAGGATGATGAATACCAATTTGGTCAAGAATGAAACTCGGAGCTCGGGGTGTTCGGGATTTTCTAAGAAATCGGAATGAGTATCAAGCATCCATTTTTTTAACAGGGAGTGATACTTACTGGCTGCCATGCGCTGGTACACGGCGCACAGAAAAATGGCCGAGAAAAGGTATCCGGAAATGAAAAGCGACAGGAATACCCAATGCAATCGACCAGGCGAGCCTGTTCTGAAGATCGAGAGACAAATCAAGCCGACAGTCCCTACAACGGCGAAAAAGATGTTGAAGGCGCAAAGAACTTTCTCGGAGGTAGATTTGTACAGCACAAGACGACCCTTCAGACGCAATATAGGTTCAGCGATCAGGCCAACATCGAAGAGGCAGGCAGTGAGAATGCAGCCTGTGATGAATAGAGGCTGAAGGCGGTCGGCACCGATATTACTGATGAAGGCGATGGTAGCTCTCGAAGACATGGTGTCGTAGTGGCGGTATTTGTCTTCGAGGACCCAGGAAAGTAGCATGCCAAGGAGCATGCCCATCCATACTAGGGAGGAAAGAAGGGGAAATACCTATAGAAGTTAGCAGCCGGACCAACAATATCTACCTGATATCTTCAAAACGTACCCAGAATGACACAACGCCACGAATGGCCATTGTGGAGGTTGTGAACCGGGGCAAAGGATGAGAAGAACAAGAAGGGATAAACTAAATAAGCAACCAGGCTCCAAGAAGAGAAAAATTCAATCGTTCGCTGATGGTCAAAGTGTGAGGCGCGTTTTGGGGGTGTTATTAGCGGTTGAAAGCGATATGATCATAATGGTTCGTGCAGTTCGAAATCAATATTGCACGCCAATCAATGACCAACAATCTCCGTTGTCTGCGCCCGCAAACTTCGATCAATAGCCTCCAAAAACCAACAAGCAGTCGAGTCCGTGGAAACCAGTGATGTATTATTAAAAACAGCGAATCGAATCGTGATTAGAGCCAGTGGTGCCGTTTGTCGTCGTCGCGCCTCCAGGGCAAAAATATTAAAAATGTTATGTTTAAAGCGTGCCGTCCCGCGGGTCGTCGATCAACGACGAACTGAATAATGAGTGAATATGTCGTTGAACCAGTCAACACGATCGTAAATGCAAATGCGATTGTTGCTTCATTCCATCATCCCACCGCCCATTATTACGGAGTCGTAAATGGAGGATGCCACAGTCAAAGGAAGAGAAGAGAGAAGAAAAATAAATGGGGAGAGTAGGTAATCAATCATCAAGGATGGTCTGTGTCCACTAATATTACTGCTAAATTTAGGTACGTGAGCACAGAGCCAAAGGCCGGCCAGCAAAAAAGGGTGAGCATTTGCCCGCTCAACCTCGGTACGATTGTCCCTTGACCGCTGCAGAACTGAAACATCTCTCTATCTACCCGAGAATATTATTCCGTTATCTAGAGGAGTGGCTTTGGCCGCGATCCAGCCCTCCTGCCAATAGAGTGACGGAGTGAAGCCACGTCCTGGGTTGAACGCCGTCGCGTTACGGCATTTCACCCACGTCGACAGGGGGGTCTGACAGCGAGCACAAGGCAGCTTATTACTGGTATATTACTATGCATATAATTGTACGTCCCGCAAGTAATCAGCGTCAGCGGCACGCTCTACCCCTACAAAAGTGACTGTGGCCGCTTGTTTTCCAGCACTTGGTGCCCAGAGCTGGGCGCCTTGGCTACCACAGCCTCGAACGCAGCCTCGACATCATGCTCGGCAACCCAGTACGGATCCATCCGTTCGCTTACCCTCTTGCGCAGCTGCTCGTCGGTTTCTTCACTCCCGCTGTCCGTCTTGACCCTTCGACCAGCAACAGATTGGTGTACCGACTCGAGCAGCCTGTCCACCTGCGGTTTTCTTGTGGCTTGGTAGATTTCAAAGACTCTGTGTAGCTCGGCTGCCGATGGCTTCCTGGAAGACGCTGACGGCGGCCAGACATGGAACAGAGCCAGGGACAATGCATGTGCATCATTGATGGCGAGGGACCCTCCCGCCGCAAATGCACCCCCGTGCCCGTGCGCGGCGTCTCCGACTAGGACGATTCGGTCGTGAAATGACCAAGTCTCCAGGGGGTCAGCCGCGTAGCCCGGAAATTGGCGAATGTACGGCGCGGCCTCTGTGATGGAGCGGATGGCTGGGTGCCAGTCCTAGGAGGCCTCATCGTCAATCAATTGACACTCCAACGTAGAGAATAGTCTCATACTGACCTTGTAAAAAGACTTGAAGTGTTCGACATCACCTTGGTCATCCCATCCAACCCCATGGCCTCGGCTCTTGGGGTCTTCCAGGTTGGCGTGGTAGCCTCCTACAACCGTATACAGCCCCTTTCCTAATAATCCAGTATGAATATCAGCACCACGAACCTACACAATGCGCAGTAAAGGATCAGTTACTCCCTCACGTACCTAGGGGCGACACAAATAGATGTCTATTATGTCCAATCTTCACCAAAATAATGCTGTTAGCATGGCAATATATTGGTTGTGTCCAAGTAACGGCAGGTAAACTCACCCAGTGAGCAGCGCCTTCAGGGTAGTCAACACCATCCAGACGAGACTGTTCATAGACCGCACGCAGCGCAACCCACCCTGTCCAGTGAATCTTATGGTCAGGGACTAATGTTTTCCTGACAGTCTGTTGAGGTTAGGTCTGTTCGCTTTTCTAGAATTTCGGCCAACCTACAGAGTGAATGCCATCGGCCCCAATACAAATGTCTGCCTTGGCAGTAGTTCCATCCTCGAACGATAAAGTAACCCCCTGGTCTCGGTCCGCGCTTACATTCACCAACTTCTTACCAAAGTGCACTATCTCACTCGGAAGATTCTCGTAGAGTGCTTTGTGGAGATGTGCGCGGTGGTACCTAGTGGTAATGAACCTCTTGTCTTTGACGTTCCGATGTTCATCATATCCAATAATCTCCGACGTTTTCCAATGGCGATAGACCATGGGCCATCCAGATCGTTGACGGTACAAAATATTGTCGTCAAACGCGTTCTTGACCCCTAGCTTATCCAATGAACTGAGCCCATTAGGCCCGAGGGCGATGCTGGCCCCGATCTCTCGAAGCTCTTCGGCACGCTCATACACATGGATGTTAACGCCTGGGTGTTTGATCAAGGCAATGGCCGTGATCAGCCCCGCAATGCCTCCGCCAGCGATTGCAATCTCCAACTTTGGAGATTGCCCTGCTGCTGAGTTTGTCGCGTTGCTGCTCATGGTTGTAACAAGGGATATCCAATATGCAGGATAATCTTTTGTCCCGTACTATTGACTGTAAAGCAGGGAAACGGTATTCAGTAGTTAGCCTTATACATGCATCATTGCTCTTTGCTTTCGTGATGGGCCCAGATAATATTTGGTGCAGACACTGGGATGGACATCGGCGCGATATTCCCGATACTATTTTTACCGCAACGAGTAATTTCGAAAAGATTAGGTAGGATTTGATGCTTTGCATGAGCGGAGCATCTCCGATGATAGGTAGGATGATGATGGAATCATCGTCTCTGATCACGCAACTATTGCCTGCGAAATAAAATCATCCCACCAACCATTACAAATAAGCCTGCTAAGATGTTTCCACCTCACGGGATTAACAAGCATTGGGTCCGGTAAAGGAGCATGGTGAATGCATCTGCCCCAAAACACTATCTCCAACCTTAAGTCCCATGTGCCGTGTATCCGATATGGTTCTAATGACGTGCGCAGTGCTACTTTATACGTGCTTTGATACCCACGGAGATGGCCCTTTCAAGGCAGGCCTGAGTGAGGAGAGGGGATTTGGCGGTTGAATAGGACAATGAGCTATTTCCTGGAATTACCAAGTATTTCACAGCATATATCTGGCCTGACGTGACTTGCTGGGGCTATAATGTGCTTAGACAGTCACGTAGCTGTGTCCGTTGTCGGCCAACGCATTTCGACTCTTGCTAAACCCCATATCATCCAAACCGTAAGCTCGGAGCCGAGCAGTCACTCAACACTTCATACAGTCCGGGGCCTCATTCACCTAGGAGAAGTTTCAGACTTTCTCATTGTGTACCTGTTCTTTCCTTTGTTGGTGCCACCTTGCCCGCCTCTTTTGCAATGAGTCCTACAGCAAATGGTGTTGCTAGTTCAGCCGACGATGAAGTTTTCAAGGAAGGCGTCCGAGTAGCCGTAATAGGTGCTGGAGTCAGTGGTGTTTGCACGGGCGTTCGCCTACTTCAACAAGGCGCTCACGTCGTCGTTTTTGAACGGTCCCAAGTGTCGTCTGGGGTGTGGCACTTTGACCCGAGAATCGATTCCAACAGCGTGGCATATCCTAGTAAGGAAGCTTCACTAGGCGAGTATGAGACATCGCTGCCTGGCCAATTTCTCCCGTCAGGTCTGAAAAATGGATATTCCGAGGATGACGAGGCTCGCCTCCGCCACCACGCCCTGAATACAACGGACAGAGAAGCTTTGGAAACTTCCTTCGCACCCCCTGGACCTTGCTACTCTGGATTAAAAAACAACATCCCTACACGGCTTTTGTACAGTAACCTCAAGCTTTGGCCTTCGGGGACAAAAGATAATGTGCCGCACTGGGAGATTGAGAAGTACATTCAGGATATTGGCGCTGAGAATGACCTTGAGAGAGTCACGCTCTACAATACACGTGTTGAAACTGCCAGAAAGTCTGATGACGGAAAAAGGTGGCTTCTACGAACAATTACACTGCTACCCAAAGAGGGAACACCTCAAATTGTCGAAAGAGCCTGGGAGTTCGATGCAATTGTTGTTTGTTCTGGCCATTACAATCTTCCTCGAATTCCTGATTTCCCTGGTCTATCAGAGTGGAAACAAGCATTTCAGGATAGAGTGATACATTCTAAGGAATATCGCAACCCAGATGACTTCAGAAATAAAAATGTCTTGGTGATAGGAGGTGCCACTTCGGCGTCAGATATCTGTCGAGAACTAGATGGAGTAGCGAAAACCGTCTATCAAAGCACAAGAGGAGGAAAGTTTGACCATCCTGCAACAATCATTCCTCCTGCCGTGAAGAGGATAGGGGAAGTGAGTAGCTTTGTCTTGGATAAGGGGAATGCTGTTGAGAAATTGAGCGATCCAGCGTCCTCAATTCCCGGTCAAGTTCTCTTAAGAAACGGGGAGACGATTAAAGATCTCCACCACATTATCATCGCAACTGGATATCTAACGTCATTTCCTTTCCTGTCTCAATTTCACGGGGATAACGTACCCATTGAAGACGCGACCCCGGAATTGCTGGTTACATCCGAGGCAAACATGGTGCACAACTTGCATAAGGATATCTTTTACATCGAGGACCCATCACTCAGTTTCGTTGGCATCCCTTACTATGTTGCCACTTTCTCGGTTTTTGACTTTCAAGCTGAGGCTGTGGCTCGGGTTCTTACTGGCAAGGCCAAATTGCCACCAAAACATGTTTTGCGAGAGGAATATAACAAGAAGATCGCCTTGAGAGGCCGTGGTCGAAATTTTCATAGCTTGGCGCATGAGGGAGCTGAACTCGCCTATGTTAAGAATCTCGCAGACTCCATAAACAAGGGAGCCCATGATAGTAAGGCTGACCTTATGAAGGGTCACTCTGAGGAGTGGCTTGACTCGTTCGAAAAGTACAAATTATGGAGAAATGGCCTTAAGGAAGGCACAGTGAACTTACTTACTTCTTTAGAAGAGTATATACGCCTCCAAGAGAAATGAGAAGAGAATTACACTCTGTACCAGCTTGTTGGTTAAATCCTAGAAACTCATGGCATTCGGTCTTCAAGCGAACCCTAAGAATCACGTAAAGAACCCTTGTTGTAGATTGGTACTGTATGTGAATATTTAATGGGAACTATCGTCATCGTCCCTCTTGGCATGCGGGCCGAACCATTATAACCGAAGCCCAGGGAGCGGTTCATCCAACTCGAGTTGGGTAGTATGAGGTCAACCTCCCAGGTAGTTTGATATGCGGACTTGGCCCGTTTACAGGGATAGTAGAGTGATTTTCTATGGAATCACGCAATCGCTCCAATGCTTGACTTGCAGTACACATGGAACTCTCGGATCCGTACCGTCGGTTGTGAAACCCCAGTACTTGACCCATAATACAGCAAGCACGCACACCTACCCATGCCTGATGCAATCGCATCGTTACTACCTTCGTATCAATGCTGATCAAATACCCAATTTGGTCCTGCTTTATGCTTTATTTCTCTTCTCGATGCCGGCCAAAAGAATTTCACCTCACTTTCATTGGCCTTCCTTTACAGAATCGGCAGCATCGGCACAATGACGGAAGGAGACATCCAACATGGCATTCGGCCATCAAGCAGCCACGATGATGACAAGAATAAGGGAGTGGTTGAAACTACTGTTGAACCCTCGGTTGGTATTGATCCAAAAGAAGAGAGGGCTTTTGTCTGGAGACTGGATCTCTGTTTTCTAACCGTCGGATTTCTGGGATACATGTTCAAATATATCGACCAGACGAACATTGTCAGCATATTTCCACGTACGTTGTCTAGCCGTCCAATGCTAACATGATGAATCCTAGAGCAACGCCTATGTATCCGGGATGAAAGAGGACCTCTCTCTCTATGGGAATGAACTCAACTTTTTTACCACTTATTTCAAGTAAGTCTAAAAACTGCCACTGGATTCGTTTGAGTAACCTGTTGATAATGGTACAGTATTGGCTACATCATTATGCTATGGCCATCTTGTATTATAATCTCCCACATTGGACCTTCAAAGTGGCTACCCGCATGTGAGGTACGATGACGAAACTTTCTTACCGAAGGTTGAGCTTGCCTAACATTATCACGAATGTTAGGTCATCTGGGGCGTCCTGACATGTTGTTTGTCTGTAGCAAATAGCGCACAGCAGGTAAAAGGGAGCTACTCACATGAACTATCTGGGCAAATATTGATTGTCTTCATAGGTCTACGGGCTGCGTTTCCTCATTGGATTTTTTGAAGGCACTACCTGGCCCGCATATTTCACCCTCATCAGGTATAAGGAACTCTCTTATTTTTAATTGGCAACTGAGAAATCTAACCGGATTCTGCAGCCAGTGGTACCTCCCTCATGAAGTGGCTCTGAGAATGAGTCTTTATAACATCGCGCAGCCCGCTGGAGCCATGGTCTCAGGTGCCATGCAGGGCGGCCTGTCCACGAACCTTGAGGGCGTGCTCGGCCGAGCAGGATGGAGATGGGCATTTATCATCAATGTAGGAGATATGATATTCTCAGATTTGGTCTCAAGGTTTCTGACTCTCACAGGGAATATGCACTATTTTTGTTGCCCTGCTGGCGTTTTTCTTTCTCCCCGGATATGTAAGTGAACTACCTATGCAAGGAACGATTGTGTTTGATACTGACAGTTTGGGTAGCCCGAGGCTCCTAATCCCTTGGCCAAGTTCTACCTAAAGCCTCGCCAGATTGGTTAGATTTGCATTCCTCTTAATTTGATGAACGAAAATGGCTAATCACACACATTGAATAGAAATCGCCCTTGCGCGTGCTCGGAGGGTCAACCGAAAGCCACAAATTGGTATAACACTCAAGTCGTTTCTTCGCTGCTTCACTTTCTGGCAACTGTGGGCAATTGGAAGTGAGTCACCCTTTTGTAGAGCCCCTCAACACAAAGAATTTGGTCTCACAAACAGCATAGTTGCATGGCCGATTGGAGGCAACTTTTTGCCTTCCAACTACTACAATCTCTGGCTCAAGTCCTTGAAAAACCCAGATGGAACAGCGAGATAGTCAGTGCTTCTTGATCCGCCCAAATAAGATCTCTGAAGAACGAACTAACATATTCAGTACTGTCGCCATGCTCAACTATCTCCCAATTATTGGTCAAGCAGCCCAGTTAGCCGCGGAGGTCATCTACAGCAGTGCTAGCGACTATTTTGGCAAACGTTTACCGTTCCTCCTTGTCCATTCAGTATGTTGTCATTCTAGTAACAACTGACGAACCGTCTCTCTGACACTTCATCTAGGTCATCAATATAACGTCTCTGTCTATCTTGATTGTTCGCCCCCAGAATGAGAACTTGTACATGGCTGGTTGGTATATGAACTATACCGGAGCGTAAGTCAACCCAGCGGATACCGCCACTAGAAGACGGAAATTCTCAAGTTTCTAACATCTTTTAGGGTTTCAATGATGCTTCTATGTTCCTGGGCGTCAGAACATCTTGCGCATGAGCCTCAAGTCCGAACTATGCTCTTCGCATCCGGCACTCTCTTCGCCTACATCCTCAGCGCCTTCGTCCCGATTGCGGCGTTCCCAGCTTCCGAGGCACCTCATTGGCGTATTGGAGCCAAACTGTACATGGGATTCGCTGTCTTCGCCGTCTTTCTCTACTTTGGCATCTATTTCGGGCTCAGGTGGGAAAAGAAACGGGCCAAGCAAGCAGAGGCACTGGAGAGACCAACCTCGACAGGGGAGGAATCAGAGTCAAGCTCCAAGTAGATTTTCACCGCCGCTTTCCTCATTATTCTCGCTACGTTGCCGAGGATTTGGCTCATAGCCTATTTTTCAAGAAGCTTGTTATGTTCTATTGCTCATATGCTTCGACGCATTATAGATCAAGCTTAGGAGTCCGTCTGCATTAATAATCTGGTTGGAAAAGTCTTGTACTGCACTCACTGTTCCTGTGATAATTTGCGATGGTTTAAGGTCGCACAGTAATTGAGTAATCTGCTTAACTAATAGTAAAAAGCATAATCATATGATAATATTTTTGAGTTGGCTTACGACATATGATATCCTCTTTTTTTCATAGAAGCCAGGCAAATGTATTTAACCGAATCCCTATACATGAAAACCTAGCTCAAGGTTTTGGATGACATCCGGGATCCTAGAATCATAGTCCTTGCCATCCAAAAACAGAACGGTTGCCTTTGCTAAGTGGTCTCACCCAGTTCGTAAGGGCGAAGCTGGGCAGAGCCTCCCTGGCATTGGGCGGAAGGTACAGACAACGTTGTTTTGTATGCTTGGAGTGAGCCAACTAATTAAGCATGCAAACAGGTCATGGGAAACACCCTCCGTTACCGTAGCTCACCAAGAGTTGACCTTCCTAACATTTATGCATCGACAATCCCTGGGTCTGCTATTCATTGGAACTGAGCCCAGTCATAAAGAGTATGGGGCTGGTTTATTGCTGCTGAAATTGGGCGTCGAACAATCGAAAATTCACCATGTACCAATATATCTCGAGAGCACCATAGAAGCTGTTCCATTAGACAAGAAGTATGGATTTGTTGAGGGAAAAATACTCACATTGTCATATCTCCCATTGTATACTGAGGCTGCCTTAACCCTACGGAAGGGAATTATTTAATTATTATATTAAATTGAACATTAATGCTTTTTGTGATAGATCCATTCTCTACTACTATTAATCTATATAAACAGAGTCTATTGATGTATTTAGACAAAATCAGGCAGGTATCACTATTTTATTCTCATATAAGTGCCTAACGCTCGATGGTCTTCTCATGCACGAAAATGTTTAAATAATCGCGCCTGTCAATCACCTACGAGCGAGATTTGCCATGTGGCAATATGAATGATTCGTGAGGATGAGATTCGCGAGGGCCTCCTTCGGCTGGAAAATGGAGTCACCTGCCGAGATCGTCCACAACGTTGCACCGAAGAGCATGAGATCTATCCAGAGAGGAAGGCGTATGGGCCTCCCCTGGTGACTTGCTAGGATGACCGTGTATGATCGCCAGTGCCATTGTTTTTGTTTTTCGCGCCGGCACATGCAGCTCACGAACTAGCAGCTGATACAACTAAGGAGACGCGAAGAGGTAGTCGTGTCATCAGGACTAATAAACCTACGTGGAAAGCTTTTGTTGTTGCGCGGTCCTTCATCCCCGACGCTCACATTATTGCAAACAACATTGAACACAAGCGAAGCGATGAGGCTCCTCAATGTTTTCATTCGGTGCCTGTCCGCCATCGCCACCGTGGTGGTGGCTGCTGGACAATATTCCGGAGGTGACACATCTGGCTGTGGTAAGAATCATCTTTTTCAGGGCCTCACGCAGACACGCCTCATCAGGTCCAGCGGCAAACATCGCGCTTATGGCGTACACTTGCCATCAGGATATGATAAAAACAAGCAGTACCCGACCATCCTAGGCTTCCACGGCTCCAGCAGTATTGGTCTCTTCTTCGAGCTAGATACCAGGCTCAGCAGCAGCAAGTATCCCCAAGACTCCATTGTTGTGTATCCGAACGGTATCGGTGGTGCTTGGGCTGGTGCCAGCTACTCAAAGGCTACAGTCACCGAAGATCTTCAGTTCGTATGGGACATACTGACGGACCTCCGGCGCTACTTCTGCGTTGACAGTGCGCGCATCTATGCTACGGGCATGTCCATTGGCGGGGGCTTCGTCGATACCATCGCCTGCAATGCCACTGTCGGCGCCGAGTTTGCTGCCTTTGCCCCTGCATCGGGCTCTTTCTATACCGACAACGACGCGAATCACCAAAGCTGCAAACCCGCCCGTGTACCGACACCGATTATTGAGATCCACGGAGGTGCTGACACAAGCGTCGCATACAACGGAGGAGTGGGTGAGGGCGGCATCAACCCTGCAATCCCTGCCTGGTAGGTCTCAGCTGAAAATGGAGATTGGTCTGAGCTCATCTCATCGACAGGCTTGACCGCTGGGCGGAACGTAACCAATGTGATAAACCGAATTCCCAATCTGACCTGTACGGTGGCGACGTCCACCATCTCAGCTGGACATGTAAGGGGGTGGCTGGTGCCTTGCAACACTACAAGACCAATGACCAGAGTACGTGTGAGCCAATCTGTTTATGCGTGGGATCGCGGCTTGGCTAATTTAACCTACGGCAGAGCACTGCTGGGCGTCGACCGAGATCAATTTCTCTCAAGTGGCTGCCGGCGACAAACCGACGCACATCGAAGCGTCTGCGATCTTCCGCGAGTTTTTCAAAAGTTTCACAAGGCCAGCAGCACAGTGACTCGAAGCCCCCCCCGGTACGGCAAAAGCCGATCGATGTGTCTTGAAAATGGGTCATACTGGTGGATTCCAAAACAGAAGTACAGGCATGTAGATGGGCACGATGGAAATGGGAGAGGCGGTCTGATTGTTGTTGCTTCTGATGAATCTCGCGCTGGCATCTCAAGCTACTTCTCCCTGCCCCAGTCAAAGATCGGTAGCGCTTGATCCCTCGCAGAGAGGCCGAGGCGGTACGTAGCAAGAAATCCCCTGCCGACAACTTTGGAAGATGTACGTAATATTATCTGGGATGATTAGCCCGTGACGCAGCTCAATGAATCGTAAAAAGCAAGCTGGATGAACTTCGGAACTCATTACGGCACGTTCAGCCACCGAGGAGAGGAGGTGTGGCAGGCAGCTTGAGAGGCAATTACTTTCTCCGAGGACAATCGGTAAAACGGGGGCAAATCATTGTCTCAGTTAGAAAGAGGTTAATCATTTCCCAGCCAGGATCTGGAGCAGTCCGGCTACCCTCCTTCAACACGGACGACCCAAACTCAAACTCTATATCCTTCCATCCTCACGTCGTTTTTCTGGAGGCATGGTCTTAGCGAAACATTATGTCCACGTACGCGTTTTATATGGGCAAGGCTGGGAGCCGTTATGACTCGCTCATCCTGGTGGAAGGTCTGGAATCCGTGAACGGCACATCGAAGTGCGGGTGAGCATCGAAGGGGATGACAGCCCGGTGCATTAGTAGGGGGAAATCTGCCCAGGATCTGCCCCCAGCTGGTGTTTTTTCGTTTCTTTTTCTTACCTCGCAGGATCGATGCTACTTTTTTTTCTCTTTCTTGTTTTTCGTATTTTTCTTTTCTTTTTATTTCTCACCATGGCGCCAAGCAAGGATTGGCTGATAGATCTGCAGAATGTGATGCGATGTTCCAAGACTATAAACGGTACTTTTTCTTGCCGATTCCTTTTCTCGGGCCCGTGCTTGCATGATTTTACGTGCGTACTGGCCGCATGGTCATGTAGGAGATGTAGCCCCGGGAGGAAAGGAAGCCCTCACCCGTTTCCTCTTCCCCCGCCCCATCCCATGGCTGAAGGGGGCCAGTCATTAGGCCGGAATAGCGCCAAAGTTTCACGGCTGGGGAAGACTAGTCTCGCCAAAGCTGGGTCCTAGTGAAAGCCACTGCAGCAGATCATTGGTCTCCCTTGGACTCACCCTTGACTGCATGAGGAATGCCCCCCCCCCCTTCCCCGATGGAGGCGACTTGTCGATGTTGACGCAGGTGAAGACTGGGATGGCAATTCAGATTCTGCGGCCGGGACCTGGAGCTTCATAAAGCTGTCTGCTCCCCAAGGTTCTTCTCCACATTAGTCCGCTATTGGCAAAAAGCTTGCCCCTCGCCTTTGCATTTCGTTTGTTCTGCTCTATTGTTTTTTGCTATGCCCCAGATAATCCCAGTACCCCAGACTGTCCCCAGCAGTTGAAACTGCAGCAAGATGGGCGGGGAGCGGGGCTTTCTGGTGCCCGAAAACTACGTGCTTCAGCCGGTCACGACCCAGGACATGATCATCGCCTCCTTGGCCCTTGGATTTACCATGGGCATCGGGTGGCTCACTGCGTGGACGGCTATCAAACAGACTACAAGCAGCTATCGGAGGATCGGACGGGGTATCGCCCACAATGCGTACGTTATCATGATTTGGGGCGAGATCGCGGCCAGCTCGGGGTTTGCTGCAATGTCGATACTGCACCTCTTCGGCTTCATTCGACCGAGGTTCGTGTTCCCTGGAGAAGACTACTCATTCCACAGCTGACATGCTGAACAAAAAACAGCTTTGAGTTTTACTTTTTTATTTGTGAGTGCTCTCGTCGGCCATTTTCCTGTCGCTGTGCTGACTCCAACTGTGAATAGTGACCTTATGGGTGTTCCAGGTGCGCGATATTGCCGGGCTAGCTCCTGGGCAGCATGCTAACGTTTTCCGCAGGTCCAGTTTCTGCTGCAGATTATCGTCAACCGCTGCGCTATCCTCGTTACGGACCGCGTGTTTATACTAAGGGTGAAATGGGGCACGGCGGCCCTCATCACAATGGTGAACATCTCAGTCTACTGCATATGGATTCCCGCTCGACTACAGATCTCCGAGAGATATATCCATATAAACGAAATCTGGGATCGGTGCGAAAAGGTGATATATCTCATCGTCGACGGGGCCCTGAACTTTCTCTTTATGCGCATCGTCAGACAGGACCTCGTCAAACTCGGCCTCCGCAAATACAACGGGCTCGTCAAGTTCAACATCTTCATCATTGGGTTTTCTCTGTCCATGGATGTTCTCATAATCGCCATGATGAGCCTCAAAAACACGTTTGTGTATGCCACTCCAACGCACCAACTTCTCAAAATCGGCAGATTGCTGACACAACCACCGTTCCAGATACATGCAATTCCACCCATTAGCTTACATTGTCAAGCTTAAAATCGAAATGTCCATGGCCAACCTAATAGCCAAGATCGCAAAGGCTCAAGCGCGGGGCACCGAGTTCGAATACTCGGGAAGCTCGAACCACTATGCCGACACCATGGTAGATTCGGCAGCTGTGGAAAATAGGAAGCAGAGGAATCCGGACGAAGAGGCACATATCGCGTGGGTGGCAGCAACGACGGAAATCCAAATGAACAACATCAAATTGCCTGGCGACGAATCACCAACTCAACCCTCACAGTCCATCCAGCCCGCCAAGTCCGCACCTGCACCAGATGCGATTACTCGCTGCTCGGCCGAGGCAGGGCCTCAGAAAGCAGATGCAAGGACTCGCCACCCGAAGAGGGAACTACAACGCCGACCCAGCAGGGACATAAGAAAATACGAGTCTTTCATGTTTCTATCATCCAAAGTGGTTGTTGATCGGTAGCTGGAGCATGGAACTCGATCGCAACATCAACGACAAAAGGTATGCGAGGTTAATGGGCCGGAGGGAAGGTGAGGGAAGGCGTTGTTGTTTTTTGAACACTTCACGATCAAGCATGATACCATCAAGCAGAGGGATTCATTTTTGGAGTCATATGAAAAGATGCAATTGTGTTTTGCACTGGCAGGGACATTGCGTGGCGCAGGGAATTGGCAAGAAAAATATTTCGGCATTTTTTAAACTGGGGTTACGAATGTACGTTTTAGCTCTGTTGAAGGCATGAGGCTATGTTGAGGTAGCCAGGTTGTCAGTATAAGTGGACAACCGTTTCGGGAACTGTTGAAGCGTGGCCCGACGCTTTGTTGAAATAATGCTCAGAAGCATTCATCATAATCCGATAATCAATATACCCGAGGCTTAATAGTCACTTCCTCGACTTAAGATTTCCTTGTTGGACTCTCGAAGCAAAATGGTCTATGTTGTGAGGTTAGTTTCTGATATCTGTTTCGGGAGCAAGTGCAACGACGGCATACATGTTCAAACTGTGCGGAATAGGAGCCCTTGATATCCGCAAGGGGTACGTGCATGTCAAGCACACCGTTGGAAACGAGGCAGTTCAGCTTTCGATCGGTCAGTTCAACTATTCCCTTTTCTCGAGCCAGTTGTCAAGGAGAAATAAGGGTACTTACACCAGCCAGATACCGATCCAAGCCAATCCGATCGAGGTATCGGCGGCAGAAAACAATAGTTCCAAAATGCTCCCTGATTACCTTGTGAAGGCGGGTTGCAGTCTCAAATGGCAATGCCACGCGTTCTGGTGCGTCTGGATTGAGCCCGTATCCGTAGACACCGTCCTACGGAGTATGAGTTAGCAAGTTTCACACCGGCATCGCATTTGGAATGTGTAGATAGCTCACATCGTCGTGTGTTCTGCCACGGCCAGTCGACCCGAAAGTCTCGATGGCAAATATTTCTCCTTCTTCCATTTTGGTCTGGTCATTATTCTTGGTGAAGGGGATGGATTTGCCCCCATGGATGAGATATCGCTTAATGTCATGTGCACAAAGGCTACGCACAGGCTTGACCGGGTAGACTTTACCATTGATCTCGACTTCGTAGCTCTCCATGGTTTCCTGGATTGCGGAACTCACATCGCAGATACGAACGTCAATCCCAGCGGCCCGGATGCCACTCTCAGTGGCATCCTTGACCCCGGCAAGAAGATTGTCGTACATAGGATCAAAGGACATAGTGAACGCACTGTCGACAATCCAACCGTTGATCTGGACGCCGTAATCTACCTTCATCACGTCCTCATGTTTGAGCACAACGTCCTTCTGGCCTGGATTTGGCGTGTAGTGAGCGACCTGGTGATTTAGTGAGAGACCAGTTGGAAAACCCATCCCAGACTTGAGGCCGTCGCCGGGCTCAATCGCTTGATTACCAAGGAGCGCCCGCACACTATCCTCAATGCCCGTGGCAATCTGGAGGAGAGTCTGTCCAGGTTTGACCGAGTCCTTAACCCAGTGTCGAACCTGGCGATGGACCTCTGCCGCCTTACGATAATCATCGAGAAAAGCCGGATCCTCGAGATGATGGCGACCAAGGTACCGCATCTCTGCAGCAGTGGTGCGAGCTGTGTTCGTCTCCCTAGCCCCATCAGGGTAGTCGAGGAATTCGCCAGGCGGGTAGTTCCCAGAAGGAAACAAGTCGCTCAGGGGCACTCTCGGTGGCGATGACTGCTCGGTCGGAGGAGCCTTCTTGGCCTTCTTTTTCTTGGGTCTTCTTCTCTTCTTCTTCTTACCATCATCCACCGTTAGCGGCATGGGTCCAAGTTGACGGTCGTCGCCCTCGCTATCCTCGTCGTCTCCGCCCCCATTATCCCCGAGACTTCCGTCTCCGTCGCGAGAGAGATGGGCACCGCGTGGCTCGCCGCCCATGCCAGAAGAGCCGGAGGAACCTGGTCCGCCCCCGCCTGAGGTCTGTCAGCGCTGATGGTCAAGATAAGGGCAGATTTTTGGCAAAACTATACCATTGCGGTCATGGTAATCATCTTCAGAGGTCTTTGCACCCATTTCGACATGAGCGCTGATGGCTGAGCGCTCTAACTGTTAAGTCGCGTGATGTGTGAGGGTTATGTTCAATTTGCCAATTCGCTCACTGGAGCCCAACATATTGGAAGCAAGTACAGGGGAACTGATACTCTAGCTTACCCTATATCCACGTGACTCCAACCTGTGTCAATGATCTTGACAAAACCTTTACAATTAGACTTCTAGATGACTTTTCTTCTAAACCAACTAAGTTGTTTATCCTCCTATACCTAAATTCAACACAACCCCAGCACTTCAGAGCGGCTTGTCCGCCTCATCCAAAGTTCACTCATGCTGATACCTGAAAACTTGAGGAAACCCTATAAACTTGGCGTCCTAGTCTGCTAGCAATATTCTTGTAAGAAGGGTAGAAGGGTAGGCTTGATTAATAAAAATAGAAATACTTATGTGGACAGGATATTCAGCTATGTTGTGGTTTGTTTGAACGAAGAAGAATTGTGGGTTGTCAACGAGTCCAATGACTCTCTGCTTTATCCGACCATTGCGCCGCGACTTTAGTTACTCTTCTTCATACCATTGTACACTAAAACATTTATTGCTTCAGAGGGATTATTGGTCATCTAGAAGACTGATTGGATGAGAATTTAGGTAGTATTATAGTCATCTTAAAGCTCAGGTGCCTACTTTCCCATCCCATCTATCACCACCAGACGACTTTGAGGTTTGGTAGGTCATTGAATTAGTCCTCGGTAGCCACGTGGGCAAAATCCATGGGAGCTATTTATCTAGTCCATCTACAACCGAGATTTCAGACTCATGCTTCTTCGTCTTGGGACCAGCTTCAAGGTCGCCGATGTGAGGGGTTATGTTAGCCTTGCGGAAATCCCGGATACTAACACCACGGAGGAACAATTCGTCTATCTCCTCAAGTGTCCTCCCTCCGCACTCGGGGACACAAAATAGAGAGAAGAGGATGGCCATGAAGGAAGTCGCACCAAAGATGAAGCCAACCCTGGACCCGAGACCCGCGTATTCAGCGCTGAGCAAGTAGGGGACGCTAAATGCAACAGCCCACTGAATCACAATGTTGAACACCGAACCTAAGGCGTAAGTCAAGTCTCTGAGGCCAGTAGTTGGGATCTCAGCAGCAACAACATGTGAGAGCGGGGCCCATCCAAGCGAAAAGCCCACGTTGAAAATGGTGACCATGGTGACAATGCCTGTTTTAACACTCCATGACGGCTGCGCCACAGTTCCCAATCCACCCATTACCATCAAAGAGGCGGTTTGGATGAAAGCTCCAGCGGTGAGAAGAGGTCTGTGTAATGTTAGAACAGGTTTCGAGGTTTTGGGTTACTTCAACGTACACGCGGCCAGTCTTGTCAGAAAGGAATTGGGTGATTAGAACAACGAAGATCCCAACGGCAGAGTTGATACAAGACATGACGAAGGGATTCACAGTCCCGATGCTCTGTATAAACACAGTCCCGTACTTGGAGCTGAAGTTTTGCCCCGTGAGCTGGAGAAAAATATTCACTCCAATCACAATCAGAGTCCGCTTTCGGTTGGCTTTAAAAAAACGTCAGTAACCATTGCCATATAGATCTCTTGATATATACTGACTTCCTTGAAATAGCTCTTTAGGCGATCCTTTCTTAACATTCTGGCTAAGAGCCGTCTGCATATCGTTGAACTCGACCTCGATCTCCTCAGAAGAATATCGTCCTTCTCTCAGTAAAGTCAGGGATCTCAACGCTTCGTCGGTACGATCACGAGTCAGTAACCACCTGGGAGACTGTCTAGTGTTAGCTTAGGTACCATGATATTGTGAGCGACAGCTGCTTCACATACCTCCGGAACCCACCATACGCCGACCGCTAGGAACGAAGGAATGACGAAGAAAAGCCCATACGGGATTTTCCAAGAAGCATGCCCCTGAATCTCGCTGGTTCCTCGACAAATGATAGCCATTACCAAGCTCCCAAGCTACCGACCATTCACCGTCAGAGAGTTCATTGGAGGCAGAAGAATCGGGAGGTGGACTAACCAAGAGACCTGACTGATAGGTCCCCACCACAAAACCTCTGGCCTGAGCAGGCACAAGCTCAGACTGTAGAACTGGGACGAGTGCCAACTCCATTCCAATATAAACATACGCAATCGTTCGGCCTGTTATGGTCTGTGTCTGTGTCGTTGACAGCAGGAGAATGATGCCAGAGAGAATGGCCCACCAACACATGACGAACATCGCGATTCGACGGCCAAAGCGCCGGCTAAGCAGATTGCCAAAAACAAGACCGAACACGAACCCGACGAATTGCACGCTGTTTAGAAGCGACAGAAAGACGGCGTCGAGATCATAGGCTTTGGTAGTTTTGTTGTAGGTTCCGTACATTTCCTTGAATGCAGGCATCGCTTGCGTGTTGCTAAAGGCTGACTGATCCATACCAAAGTTGAGTTGCGAGAGCGCAATCAATGCGCAGGAATAAAGGAGGCGGCCATTGAAGCAGCCAGGCAAACTGCGTGCGGGTTTGTTTGTGGCCATTGGTGCCTACTCAGGTTGCCGCGGCTGTTATTGAGGTATGTTGGGATTAGTTCAACACATACTTCGTGATCCCAACTGTGTTCTTATACACGTTGGTTATCAAGATCAAGGTTGCGAGTAGAATGGCCTTTGAGCAAAGAATACTTGGGTTGTCGTCAAAATGTGAAGCAATCACGCAATTGACGCCAATTTGGCGAACCACCTGGATCGGAATCAATAATAAGCAAACCCGTGGTGTAAGTCTCATTTGTATTGGCCATTGCGCAACAAAAGGAACTACCAGAAGACGACAGGGAAATCCCGAAAGAACACAATGGAGGCGTAAATGGCCAGGTCAGGGGAAGTGTGGGAACACGGGGAGACGGGTAGACGGGGATGCACGGAGAAGGCAAGAGGACGAGGAGTTGAAGAGGTTAAAGCGGGCGGGGACATGGGGAAGCGCGGAGATTACTGAGATGAGCATAGCAATCGATTCACCTGAGTTAGCTGAGCTAGCTTGAAGATCCGTGTTTCCGCGTCACAAGTTGGTGTATACTAATTGCGCCTCTCCCCTCTGAACGCTTTGTAAATTGATATCGGCGCGATCCTTTGCTGCAGGAGATTTTAACCCTGGCCACAAAGTCACGACAAGGGACGCAACAAACCAGAAGACTATTGAAATGAGTAAATCGCAAATGAAACGGCCAAACTTTTTGGTGATAGTCGCCGACGACTTGGGCTACAGTGACTTGGGCTGCTTCGGCTCAGAAATCGAAACCCCTTCATTGGATCGATTGGCACTGGCGGGTGTAAGATTGACTAATTTTCACACAGCATCAGCATGCTCCCCAACAAGGAGCATGTTGTTTTCGGGAACAGATAACCACATTGCTGGGCTTGGGCAGATGACAGAGCATATGGCAGGCTTCATCGACAACTACAAGGATCGGCCCGGTTATGAAGGTTATCTCAACTTTCGAGTCGCTGCGCTGAGCGAGATTCTTCAAGATGCTGGATACCACACTATCATGTCTGGGAAATGGTACAGAAAGGATCCCCCGAAAACAAAACAAAATTTGATATTGCTGCTGATTGTCTATAAAATTATCTAGGCATTTGGGAACATCAATAGAGACAGCACCATGCTCACGAGGGTTTGACAAAAGCTATGTATTCCTTTCAGGCTGCTGCAACCATTTCAACTACGAGCCACAGCTTGATGACCCTTCGCATGGGCTTTTCACGCCTATGAATGCTGGGAAATTCTGGATGGAAGACGACCGCTTTCTCGACCGAAAGGATCCAGATGACATCCCCACTGACTTCTATTCTACCACGACCTTCACTGACGTTCTGATCAACTCTCTACGAGAACGAAATGACACCGAGCAGCCGTTCTTCGCCTACCTTCCATTCACCGCACCCCATTGGCCACTGCAAGCACCACGAGATACGGTCGAAAAATACAAGGGCTACTATGATGATGGGCCGGCCAAGCTTCGAGCTCGACGTCTCCAAAAGCTTGTTCAGCTTGGACTCATACAAGAGGGGGTGGAGCCCGCCCCCATGACGGTTGAATTATGGGATAAGATGTCTGCCACAGAAAAAGCCGAGTCAGCACGAAAAATGGAGGTCTACGCGGCCATGGTTGATATCATTGACCAAAATGTTGGACGCGTCGCAGACTACTTGGAGTCGATCGGCGAGCTAGACAATACCTGCATCTTGTTTATGTCAGATAACGGAGCTGAGGGTGCTATGCTGGAAGCTATCCCTATGATGGGCAGCGTTGGTTCTGTCCCCAAATTGATCAACAAGTACTACAACAACTCAATCGACAATATGGGTAATGCCGACTCGTATATCTGGTATGGCGCTGAGTGGGCATGTGCTTCCATGGCCCCCTCACGGGGTTTCAAGACATGGATTACAGAGGGAGGTATTCGCTGTCCCTGCTTGATCAGATATCCAACCTTTTCCAAATCTGGTTCTACCACGGATGCGTTCTGCACTGTCATGGATATCCTTCCTACCATACTAGAACTTGCTCAGGTGCCATTACCTGGGAAAATCTTTAGGGACAGGGAGGTTGTCCCCGTACGTGGCAGTTCATGGGTTGCTCACCTGAACGAAAAATCATCTGAGATCCATGATGAGGAAACTCACATTACAGGATGGGAGCTTTTTGGGCATAGAGCTATCAGACAAGGTACTTGGAAGGCACTCTATATGAATGCGCCAAGGGGTAAAGACAGATGGGAGCTCTACAATCTGCAAGTGGACCCTGGGGAGACAGAAGATCTGGCCGAGAGGGAACCAGAAGTGCTGGAACGACTTATCAAACACTGGGAGGTTTATTATGCCGAATCTGGAATGTTTGACCCCGGCCATGAGTTTAGATACACAAAATACACGTAGCTCGCCACCTAAAGAATGTTATTGGAACAGGATAGCTTGTCATGCGCTCCACGCACGGCAGGCCCTGCTTTGAATGAAGATTGGGTATCTATGAAATCATATGATCGCTATATATATCTACGCGGTATCAATCTGAGCACAGGCTTGGTAATACATAAACTCGAGAGTATTAGCCATTTGAGCAACGTCACCAGCCCCTTCGCCCCAATACTTGAGTGTCCGTATTGTTGTCTGTATCAAAGATCTCCACTCTGAGGGAACATCAATCCGACCAGGATTTAGTGCCGCGGCGATTATCATGGTAGCATAGGCAAAACAATTTCGAACTACAAACCAAGAGCCACCATGTCGTATATGAAACGAGAATCGGTGGACCATTCTCGCACATAGGTCGATGGCCTTGTTGCTTAAATCTCGTATTTCTGAAGGAATGCTCATACCTCCATCGTGATGGAGAGCATAGTATACAATTGGTCGTAGTATATATTCACGCCATATCTGGGCTCTACCTTGAAGGGCAGATGCAAATTGAGTGACTGGGGTCTCATCATCATGGAATTGTACTGCGGGTGGTAGATGCTCATGCCTTCAAACGTTCCTGTTAGTGTTTGCGCCGTTCCAAAATATCGGAGAATCTACAAGGAGCTTACCATGAGGATACTTGCAGTTCGCATTCATGATACTGCTCTATCAAATGCGTTGGGCTTTTCATCCAATATGTCTCACCCTTGCGATACCAAAGATGTATAGTTTCGTCAATCATGCGTCTAGCTGATATCTCGGCAAGGTAGTAGGACCAACCCATCTCGTTAATATGCTGTTGATCATACGGAAACTCTGACGGTGGAGTGCTATTGACCGTGGTAGGAGTAGAAAGCTCATCTGGCAGTCTTGGAAATGCCTCTGGGTATGAAAAGCTATCCAACCCACTGGGCTGCAATCCTAATTCAAGAAAGAGCTCACTACGGTATTTGTTAATTCGACGACCATACGGGCAAGAGAGGGTAGTACTGCTTCGTCTTACCTCTCAGATCGGAAGCAAGACCAGAATAAACGCTGTTCTAAATGATAATCCTTTGGAGGGGGTCCTTGAAAAGATGCCCATGCCCTTTCACCACCCCGTAATAAGAGAGCCTCAAGCCTGGTTGCGGCTTGCTGAAGATAAAACCATGCCTCTAAAGGACGAAGCATCGATTTCTCAAATATATGAGCAAAGAATAGGCATTGGATGTCTTGAATCGAACGGCCTAGAAGGCCAAGCCTCTTTTGAGCTGCTAGATAGTACGCTTTGGCTCTGCCAAGTTCCTCCACTGTTTGTGTTTGAAATTGCTCGTCGTTCGGAGGGATAGGGAAATCATTCGGTTTCGGCCAAGGTTTAGTGTACGCAGCTAATGCACAGGCCAATAGCTATTACAATACCATTTATCAGTTAGTGCTGGTGGTATTTCTATCGGAATGGAGTCCATACCACAATGCAAGAGGAAGAGTCGTACTGCAGCCCATATTCTGTCACTGTCTGCGCTTGGCGTCTGAGTTCTGCCTCATCCAGCACAGGATTCCTTGGATGAACCTGCTCGAGAAATTTGGAGCACAATGGTACAAAATCCTCGTCTCTAATTCCTGGTCCTTCCGTCGTTGCTGACCCTTGGGATCCATGCCGCGGTTTTTCATACTCACAGCTCAGTGGAAATGAGTCGATCTCGAGTAGTTCAACCGGAACAACATTTCTCAACGCAGGCCACCGCAAAATAGATTCTGCACGTAGAGCTGAGAATGTGAACCTTGACCCCTCTGCATTGCGATTTGAAGAGGGTGGACCCGGCATCTCTTGGGGCGTTTGAACCGAGGAGAACCTTTTCCAGGGGCTGCGGTCAAGCAGAGCTGAGTGGCCGTCCACCCCGATCGGAGGCGGGCAAGGAAAAGAGGTAAATGATTTCGTCGTTCTTTCATTTATTTGTAGCACCAATTCCCGTAACTCGTCTAGTCGGTGTATCACTTCGCCCTGATCAGTTACACTTGGGTGTTGCGCAATACTGTCCAAAACCCCCCCTGTTGGTCGTCACCATAGATACATCTCGCCCCATTGCGAACACAGAAGCCGCATTCTGGGCGCACATTGTCACATTTTGTCTTTCTAAGTCGACAGAATTGACAGGCAGAGACAGCTCGCTTTCTTGGAGCAAAGTCTGTAGTGGTTAAGCGTCGTCTTTTGTTGGTAGCCAGCTCCTCTCCTCCGACGGGGCTATTGCTGCCAGCAAGGTGGATATATGTATGTTCCATTTGCAGCTAAAAGATGTATTTTGGCGCAATACGGAACGTTGATTATGCCCAAGCTGCCCTGGTCTCAGTGAAGACACCCAAAAATGATTCGGAAAGACGGGGATGGACGGGGAAAGGCGGCAGTACCTGTACATGAAAAGAACACAATAAAGGCCAGGAGCGTAGGTGCGGATAAAGCTTCATGGGTCAACAGTCATGGCTAAACTCTTTTGGCTCTCTAGCGATCGCGCAATATGACGTGATCGGGGTGTGGATCTGGGCATCTCTTGAAGACAGGAAGCTAATGTTGCGTCTGCGCACAAGCAACACGAGCTTATTTCATGACAGCCGAAGCAGGTGAGCTCTTCTTATGCCGCACATCTGTAAATTTCCTTCCCGGTTGCTGTTTTAGTATCCTCGACGGACTTCGTATAGCGTAGCCAATTCCCAGAACTTGCGGTCAGGGCCGCTAATGCTCTAGACATCTAGACATACGATCACCGACACAAGCTAAAGCCAAGCACTGTGCACGAGCCGAGCTTGATTCCGTAGTGCAAGATTATGCAGGTTGTTGCCGTCTGTTGGTTGGATGCATTGCCGAGCAGCAAATCCAAAATCCTGGCATTCATCAAGTGGTCATACCAGAAGGACTAATTCTCTCGATTCTCACCAATATAGAATTTTGAAATCTACGTTTGATCTATAGTTAACTACAATAGTGATGGAAATATTCAGAGTAGTTAGTCTCTTCAGTATGCTCTCGCAATTCGAAGCGACCGCATTTGAATGCTCAACTTAAACTTGGTTAGTAGCTATTAGGATAGGAGTTAGACCTCCTATACGGGTGAGAGAGTTCGAGAACAAAGTAAAAAACATCAATGAAGAAGCTAGACCCAACATCTCAACACAATGAATATAAGTTACGAAAGTACAACCATGCTTGAAATTGCAATCATTTGCTATATGAATTACACAAGCCAGTTATTAAGTCCCAGTAGGAACGATGATCAAGAAAAAGTATATATTTTAGCCTCTAGTATAGTAGCTGAGTTTATAAACTATCAGGAAAATGCCGAGGAAGGCCTAGACTGCACTACGAGCTCCCATCATCTGTCAATTGGTCGAGTTGAGTGATGTCCTCCCCTGATCCTTCAACAACCCCTGCTTCTTTCAGCTTCTTTTCTTTTTTGTGGCTCCAGTCCTTGAGGAATTTTTCAGCTGCAATTTGCTTGTCTTTCCTGTCCTCGTCTGCAGCCTTTTCCGCTGCAGCCTTTGCATCCAAGTCTGCCTTCTGTTGGTTCATCAAGGCCGTATTCTGAGCGATGTACCCTTCGTTTTCTTTCAGATTCGTTTCGATCTTTTGTTTTTCTTCGACGATGTGTTTTCTCTCGCGCTGCGCGGAATGTCCCAAGGTCTGCATTATAGACGCCTGATCATCCGAACTACCCACAAATAGATTTGCCACATCAGTGATTTTCGGGTTCTTTTTCGGCTCATTGGCTTGAGACGTCAGAGCGTTCAAGGCTTCCTTCCGAGCTTTCTCGATCTCGTCGGTCTGAGAACCCGACGCAGGCTGAGCAGGTGGCGCCGGCGGATCAGGTAATTGACAACTAGGGCCAGCATCTGAACCGGTGTTTGACCTCTTGCAAGGATTGTCGACCTTATGAAGTTTCCCCTGCCTCACTTCCTCAGTCTTGCTGTTGACTCTTTGGTTTTGGGGCAATGGGGTTTTGGGTTTGGTGACCGACGACTTAGATGCATTTTCAACCAGTGATGTTTTAGCTGTACTTTTGGCAGGACTTTTGGGTGCATTCCTTGGAGGAGTTGGGCCCTTGGAACGATTCTTAGCAGTTAACTTCTTTGCAGCGTTTGGTTTCTTGGTAACAGTCTTCTTCGGGGCAGTCTTCACAGTCTTTGATTTCTTGGCTGCCGTTGGCCTCTTGAAAGCAGTTGTCTTCTTAGTACCTGCTGGTTTCTTGACCACAACTGGTTTCCTAACAGGAGATGGCTTTCGGATGGGAGCTGGTTTCTTAGCAGCAAGAGGCTTCTTGGCAGCAGCGGGCTTCTTGGCAGCAGCGTGCTTCTTGGTAGCAGCGTGCTTCTTGGTAGCAGCGTGCTTCTTGATAGCGGTTGGCTTCCTAGAAGGAGATAGCTTTCTGATGGGAGCTGGTTTCTTGGCGGAAACGGGCTTCTTGGCAGCGGTTGGCTTGTTGGTATCGGCAGGCTTTCTGATGGAAGCTGGCTTCTTGACAACAGCTGGCTTCTTGACAACAGCTGGCTTCTTGACAATAGCTGGCTTCCTAATAGAAGATGACTTTCTGATGGGGGATGGTTTCTTAGCGGCAGCGGGCTTCTTGGCAGCGGTTGGCTTCTTGGTATCGGCAGGCTTTCTGATAGGAGCGGGCTTCCTAGTAGGAGATGAATTTCTGAAGGGAGCTGGCTTCTTGACGGCAGAGCGCTTCTTAGTATCAGCAGGCTTCCTGGCAGGATGCCTAGTAGTAGACTTCTTTGGGCCACCAGGTTTGCTAATGGTGGCTGGGTTCTTGGCCTTAGGCCTCTTTGACGCGACTCTGGTTGCCAACTTGCGGACCTTACACGCCCTCAGTTCCAAAGGTGCAAGCCTATTTAGCCCCCGAGAGCCAATATCAGATGAAAGTTCATCGCGCTTGTCTTGATGGCGAATCTTTCCAGTAGTTCTGATCGGTGCCACTACGACACTAGCACCATCATCTCCCCTGGTGTCAAAAATGTTGGAGGATTGCCTGGGCTCGGTTGAAACCCCGGTACCGGCTGATGGGAGTGGAAACCCGGCAACTTTGACAGAACGGCCAAGGAAAAAGGAAATAGAACAAAAGTAGAGATGTTTCATAGAAACCATGGTGGACGAGTAGGAAATGGGAGTAGCGTGCAGACTGCAACGAAAGAGAGTAAAAATAACAAACAAGTGAGACCAGCTCAGGGTGGGAGAAATAAAGGATGAGAGACCAGCTCTAGCTATGTTATTTTTGGGTGTTTTTATTTTTTTTATTTTGGCTAGAAACATATTGTATGGTAAAAGCGACCGCAATATATACACTTTTCGTTTATCGCATTTATCACACATCAACAACCGACCAACAATTGAAATTCAGTGTTCTATTTTCATCCGTTCTTCTCAGAAGATCCGGTCGTTTTCGTCCTGGGATATTCGTAATAATATTGATTGAGTGTTGGTTGAGTGACTTGGCATTTCGTTCTCCCCACCCATTGAGCCCGTACTCGTCCAACAGGTGGCAATCTTTAAGTCCCAGAAATAACAACAAAAAGAACTAAGCATCACATTTCAATCCAAAAACAAGGATCTTACGTGATAAGGCAACTACTTAGGAGTAGGGCTTGACATCGCCATTAGGTCGTTGGTTTGTCACCCATTAAAACAGGAATACATTTGGGGGCCAATAACGCAGCGTATGATCGCTAGGAAAAACTAATGCAGGACAAACCCACAGTGGGATTCCAGTTGGTAGGATTCCAGTTGGTAAGAAGCCTGCTAAATATATATTCGCACTATTCTTGCATCTCTGTGTTGGCCGAAGCCCAAAATCCTAACCAGGTGAGATGGATTTTCACCGTCCCTCACAGTGCCCCGAACCTGATCAATCGATAGAATGGATATCAATGATGTGACAATAGTTGTTATTACTGGACTAAACGGTTTTCTATCGCCTGTGTTCCCAAGTGTCGTTGGTTATCTGGAAGTTGAGAAACGAAAATTGGATGTTGAGCTCATGGAACAAGTGTCTCATGATGACGAAGGGTAAGTTGCAAGTAGAAAACCTCTTCGATGGTGGCGTGATTGATTGCGTGGTTTCTCGGTATCTCCGCAGCACGTAGGCTCAGCCTCCAATCCACTCACACATAATTAAGGGTTATCTGCAAGCGAGGTTGCATCGCCGGGGTCCCAACGCAAAATCGAATTAGAGCCAACAGCTCTTATGAATTATTATCCCCAATGATTAGGCCAAGAGTCAGACGCTACACTTTTCTCATTGTTTGCAAGAACCTGAAAGGGGACAGAAAAATCCATCTCGACCTATTTTTTACTACTTTGATGCTTGCTCCGAGATTATTGAAACAGAAAATGGATGAAGCAGTGCCACTTGACCTCCTTTCTGTCGCATTTGATCCTGTTATCTCGTTGAAAGACAGGCACACTTCGAGCGCTCGAGAGAGCTGGATTTACCAACCAAGGGTCTACAGATCTCTCGAGATATTTGTTGCTGATCGAGTAGGGGACCGAGGGCCTTGTATTTGTGAACCAAAATTACCTGGCGATCCTTATCGGTTTCGTTTCTCAGATGGCTTCTGCGTGTCATTACGCGTTAACTGCCCTGAACCCAGCGATCCCGATGTGATCAAAGTGGAAAAAATAACTCGTGTGGTTGAATGGATGAAGTATTTTTCCGCCAACACGAGTATTCCTATGCCGCATATCCTGTCTTTTAGCAGAGACGTGTCTGATGTCCTTCCGATTCTCGGCGTACCCTTTTACTTGGTGGAAACCATGAGGCGAGGAAAGTCTCTTCGCAGCTATCTGGCCGCACTGCGAGAATCTCAAACCATTTCAGCAAACAGGGCGAACGAGATTCGGTCCAATATCTACGAGCAAATTTCTCAATACTACCTCGAACTGCGCCGTTTGACGATGGGCCGGATAGGCTCCGTGAGTGCAGACAGCTCTGGGAAGTGGGAAGTTACCAAACGCCCATTCACGGGTAGTATGGAATACCTTCTGTCCGATATCCCTGCTTGTCTCATGCACGAGTGGCCTGAAGAGCCGTTCAGTACCGCAGAAGATTATTTCTGGTTTATGAGCGAACAAAACATGGCCGCTCTTTGGGGTCTGCGCAGCCTGAGTGTACCAAGGCGACTAGACCCTGTTGCTGACGATGTTTTTCCGCAATGGGAAGATGATGAATTCAACTTCGATCCGGAAAAGGTTGCCAGGTGCGCCCGGCTTCGTTTCAGGGCCCGACATGGGTTCCTCCAGCTCATCAAAGAACTTGCAACTGAGGAAGAGTATTCAAACGGCCCCTTTGTGCCAGCCATGCCACACTTGGACTGGGAGCTCTTCCGTGTCGACTATGACCAAAGAACGGGGAAAATCAATTATGTCTTCGAACCGACGACCATGAACTTCTTGCCTCTCCCATTTCTGTGCATACCGCCTCCCTGGCTTACTCTCAAGCCGGTGATGAGCTACATTGATCGGAACAAACTTGACTCTTTTATCGAACAGTATGAGAAGGAACTGCCAAGGTTCCTAGAAGCTATGAAAACCGTGGAAAGGCGATTGGCAAATACAGATTCAATCCTAGAAAATGAGAAGCCGTTGTCAACTCTCATGCTCGAGTCTTGGAAAAATAAGAGATTTTGGTTTCACTATGCTCTTGAAAACATACAAGCTGTCGATCAGCTGTACTATGGGGTGCTCTATCAACTTCACCCAGGAGGAAAACCTTTTGAACTGTCCCCGGCTCTTGAGGTTGAGATGGAAAAGTACGTTGAACATAGCATGGAGCAAATTTATGCCTGCCGTAAGGACTATGACAAATTTGTGAAGGAGGCTAAAGATTGATTAAGGGATTATCAAATCAACCATTGCAAGATAAGGAAATTTTCTATTGGGTTCATACTTTACGCAATATCGGAGCTCTGCGCCATTGCCTTCCCGTTTATGTTGATGGTGATTCTGTATTTGAAAAGGTTGATGTGTGACTGCTAGGTCGGCTCTGCAGCGACCTTTCTTTTCAATCGCGGACAGCCTGCTCAACTGATAATGGATTAAGAGAGCTTCCACGCTCTGTAGGCACCCTAGCTGAACAAACTTTCCCGTAATGGTCTAACAGGCGAAAATCCGCGAGTTCAAGGTAATGCCAGCTTGCAACAATGGAACACCCCGATCCCCAATTCCCGCTTTTGGCGGTACCAAACCGAAGTTCACAGTCCTATCGACCGCATCTTCGCCCAACAGGGCAGATTTAGAAAAGATAGGAAATAGAGGGCAATCGTGGGGGGAATGGGAAGACCTCCTTCGTCTGTTCGGGCAATTTTGCTTACTCTCCTTCAGGTACTGCACATGATACAGGACACTCCCATGGAAGCAACGGACCAATCCGGACGGCGCTCATATTCAGCCTCACTAAAGCGGTATTAGCTGATGACATGGCATAAAACCCCTCACTCAAAATTCAATTCCATTCCAATTTGCCAAGCTGTCTACTGTCCCAAGATACCGGCGATTTGTTTGGTACAATCCGTTGACATCGCAACATGCTATCACCGCCCAAAGCATGGCACCCCCGGACCTCTCATGAATCCGAAGTGGAGGGTCAGAAGTTTCGGGCCGCGAGCAGCCTAATCCCCGTATTCGCGGAAGCTCGGTTGTGGAACTCTCGCAATCCAACTATCGACGATTTGGTTCTTACTAACGAAGAGTTGGAGAAGGTGCTCTCGGATCAGGTACACACTTCCAGCGAAATCCAACAGTCTATTAATAACTTAAGGCTAGGAATTTCACCGTGCTGACACGCAGCTAGGAATCGCCGCTGGAGAATGGCACCAACGAAACGCTGGGGAAACCACCCAAATTCATTCTAATGTATATTTACTCTCATTTTATGCTGCTCTACACTCAATGATCTAACTATTATTACAGCTCGGTGTTTGGAGAGCCAGAGTCTGGAAAGGAAACGGGCCATGAGCTTTTGGCACGAACGAAGTGCCTCAGCAAAATACTTCACCTTGCAGGACTTCGCGATCAGCGACATGTTTCAAGGTTCATCAATAACAAAATTCCTTGCACATATAGCCATGTAGAATACGAGGGCGATGGAGAAACGCCCGTTTGCTTAAGTATGGTGTCGTATCTTTGCATTCAGTCCCCATGACAAAGGCTTACTCACTATTTGATTCTAGCCATTCTCTTCTTATGCCCCAAGCGCAGCAACAATATATTAGGCGCCGTCCGAGTCGACATTGAATCAAGAAATTGTTTTGCCTTCGTCAGCTCCAGATTTGAGGTAGATAACCAAGATATCATATCTCGCTGTCGCCGAAACGTTGATCTGTTACGAATAAATCCTTTGTACCTGCTCGTATTCATTTATGAGAACCGAATCCAAAGATGGACTGATTGGTTTGAGGAGTCATGGCAGAGTATTGTGGAAGCGGAGACGGCAACTAACATGATCCTTCCCCAATGGAGGTTGAGCAAAAAACAACTAAACACGATTTCAGATTCTGACAGGCTACTCACTCAATTACACAAAACCCACATAGAGCTCTCAAACAGCCACGGTGTGATCTCGTATGGGCATGCGTTTGGTGATGCCTGCAATAAAGCTGCTATCCAAATCGAGGAGTATCGGAAAAGCCTTGGTTACACGCCCCTGCCAACTCGAGACTTGCGAAGTTTAGAAGAGGACCTGAATATGATGCACTCTCAATCTGGATCAATAAAGAGCAGATTGGCAGCCTTAAGCAGCCGGTTATCGGGCATGATCAACGTGGTATGTGCTGACTTAGGCCCTCGAAATGAATGGATACAAGCTAATTTCCTCTATCTGCAGTCTTTCAATCTCATTGCCAAAAGAGACAGCAAAGTCAACGTCGCAATCGCAAAACTGCAGGCCAGGGAAAGTCGAACAGTAAAGGGAATTTCGATCCTAACCTTTTCATTGCTTCCGGCAACCTTTCTCGCGGTACGCTAGAGTAGGCACCATTGGGTCATTCCAATACTGATTCTATACTAGACTTTATGGACAACGAACTTGTTTCAACTTGATGGGTACAAAAATTGGTTGGTGTTCATTGGATCAGTACTAGGTTTGACATTGTTCGTCTTCACTTGTTCCTATATTTATGGCCGTGTGGCCCGGAAGCTGGAAGAGACACGATGGCCAAACGCATCTATAATGGACACACTCAATGCTCTGCCCCCAGCGTAGGTATCCTGATTGAGGGGTGGTATTGCTTCTGCCACTCCGCAGTTGTTCGATGCTGACACTCATCTTAACTTTTTTTTCTCTTTGTATATATTTCTATTCACAGAATCCATCATAGCTTCACCTTCTCAGAAGTGTAGTATATCCCAGGAGCATCATCCGCTGCTTGATATCCCATCACGTATCTGTAGGTCCGGCAGCTGTAAGGAAGTCAAAGTCTGCTCCTGAATGAGCTTGCTGCACCGACCGCATGAACAATCCCCGATACCCTCTGAGTTTCTTTCTAGCAACCCATACATCTGCCGATTTATCAGATTCCGTTTCCAATGACCTTCTCTTCTCTTCCTGTCGGCGCTTGATCTCTTCCTCTGAGATATCCACGTGAATTAGCCGCTGATCCAAGTCACACTTTACTAAGTCTCCCGTGCGGACGATTCCCAGTACTGAACTTGGGTCCGTTGCCTCCGGAGATACATGAAGCACAATTGTACCACCGGCAGTTCCACTCATACGTCCATCAGATATCCGCAGCATGTCCTGAACGCCCTTTGCCGCGAGTTTGCGAGGAATAGGGATCATTCCAGCCTCCGGCATACCTGGATTACCAATGGGCCCAATGTTTTGGAGAATAAGTACGCTGTCGGGCTCTACTTCGAGATTCGGATCATCAATCCTCCTGGCCATATCCGCTGAGCCGGCGAATACAACCGCTCGGCCAGTATGGTTGAGCAGTGCACGATCTTTTGAAGCACTTGCTTTCATGACACACCCATGCGGTGCCAAATTACCCTTAAGAACCACCAAAGAGGAGCGCTCGTAAAGGGGATCGTGTAGCGGGCGAAGAACCATGGTAGGAATATGTCTTGGGACTATCTTGAGGGGAGTCGAGTCCAGTTCCTCTCCCAATGTCTTTCCGCTAATGGTCAATGCGTCAAGGAGTAGCAAGGGTTTGAGCTCTTCCAGCAACGCTCGCATACCGCCCGAGTTGTGGAAGTCTGTCATGTAATTATCGCCACTAGGTTTTAAATCCACAAGCAGCGGGGTCTTCCGTCCAATCTCGTCGAACGTCTCGAGTGTGATGGTTCCTGCCACATCAGGATGACGCCCAATAATCGCCATCAAGTGCACGACGGCGTTGGTCGAGCCTCCGATGGCCTGGAGGACGGTAATGGCGTTAAGGAAGGAGTTGCGCGAGAGCACTGTCTGTGGCTTGAGCTTCAGGTTATGCATGTGCACAGCTAGAGACCCCGTTTCTTCCGCAATGCGTAACCTGGCCGAAGAAACGGCCGGTGCCGTGGCTCCCCAGAAAGGCATCATGCCCAGACCAACCAGGATGCATGCCATTGTGCTCACAGTACCCATCACACCACATGTTCCGGCCTGTAAGAAGCCAGTACGTTAGCATATCATTCAGTAACCGATGGGGATCGCTGGCGAGGAGTCAACGCCTCATTATTCGGGAACGTACCGTCGGCGCCAATTCTTCATTGATACCTGAGATTTCTTCGATGTCGATCGTACCCGCGCGAAATTTGGCCCAATTGTTTCGACAGTCTGTGCAGGCTCCAATCCGTTCGCCCTTGTGGCTGCCGGGCATCATGGGGCCAGTAACAAGACTCAGCGCCGGCTTGTTCGCCGAGATGCCACCCATGAGCTGTGCGGGGGTGGTCTTGTCGCATCCCCCGATCAAAACAACCGAGTCGCACGGCTGCGCGCGTATCATCTCCTCGGTGTCCATTGACATCAGGTTCCGGAGGTACATGCTTGTCGGCGAAGAGAAGGATTCAGCAATGCTGATGGTTGGGAAGTCAATGGCCAGTCCGCCAGCCAGGTGGACTCCACGCTTGACGGCCTCGATGAGCTGAGGGACATTGGCGTGACAAGGGTTGAAGCTAGAGTAGGTGTTGACAATGCCGATAATGGGTCGTGAGAGGGACTCTTCACTATATCCCATAGCCTTGATGAAGACTTTGCGGAGAAAGAGGGAGAAATGGGCATCACCATACGATGCCAGACCTTGTCGCATTCCTCCAGAACTGGAGTCAATGGGAGTATTCAGGTCATAGTCGTTAGGGGCGGGCTTTGCGCCTCCTCTTGTGTCTGAGCTTGCATCATTTTCCATGTTGTATCTCGCGTATGCCCAGCATATATCCAATAATTCCAATCCAGGGCACAAGGCATGAGAGCAGAGAGCCCGGTCTTTATCACTTTCGCCTTATCCGATCACATCATAGCAGACGATGTCGGAGCCGGGCGGGATAAATAAGCAAGCCGTGATTGGCGGTTCCGGCGACGGAGAAAGTCCGTGAGTGGGTTCTTCATGCCTTCAACCGACACGGAAATATATTACTCGGCTTCGATAACCGGAAATATTTCCACGGTTTCGGCAGCCGGATCGCTCACTCGATCTATCCTGCCACCCTCAATCAATCTCGAAGCGCTCTGAATCTAAGCTCCGAAATAATGTTCGATTTAAATGGCAAAGTCGCCCTGGTGATTGGCTTGGGCCAGTCAGGAACCGAGGGCTGGGGAATTGGTGCAGCCTGCGCAATCACCTTTGCTCGACAAGGGGCCATCATCTTTGGCGGCAACCGCACGATCGCTTCTACAACGAAGACGACAGACACCCTCCGCAATGAAGGCCTCCAGGGAGAAGTCATGCAAGCCGACGCCACTTCCTCAGAGTCCGTCAAAGCCCTCGTCGACGCCTGTATTGCGAAACATGGCCGTATTGATATCTTATTATGCAACGTGGGCCAGTCACAGCCAGGCGGGCCAGCCGAGATGTCAGAAGAGACTTGGGATTCCCAGATGGACCTCAACTTGAAAAGCGTATACTTAGCATGCCACCATGTCCTGCCTATCATGGAGAAACAAGAGACAGGTGGTTCTATCGTTTGCGTTTCCAGTATCGCCGGACTGCGCTACATTGGGAAGCCCCAGATTGCATACAATACCACGAAGGCAGCAATCATGCAGTTCGTGAAGGCTACGGCTGTCATCTACGCGAAGAAGGGGGTGAGGCTCAATACAGTGGTGCCTGGTTTGATGGAGACTCCATACACAAGAGAGCTTTTCAAACGACATCCGGTGCCGGGTGGTTATGAAGAATTCAAAGCGACAAGGGATAATCAGGTTCCCATGGGCCATATGGGAGATGCTTGGGATGTGGCCAATGCCGCTTTGTTCCTGGCTTCAGATGAAGCTCGGTATGTTACTGGTCAAAAAATTGTTGTTGACGGAGGTATCACATCCTCTACCGGTCGTTCATAGAATGTAAATATATATATTATTTTGGGTTTTATCTCACCTTTCATATTCTTCAAGATCACTTATCAGGCTCACAGATAATCCATGGTCCTGCCCGTCTCAATTGCCATACAGCAGAGTCGTTGTTTCCGAAAAGCTCGAATTGAAAGACAAATTCTCGTTAATCAAGACTAGTTTCGATTCCATCGCCCTTCAGACCCATTAATTTGACGAACCGAGAGCCGACTTGGGTATGCCGTGTGCATGGGAGCTTTGAAGTTCGGTTCGGGATTTATCCGTATGCCCACTTCTATCACCCTTCTCCACGTGCGGGAATACTCCGCTTGAAATATCGCCCACTCGGAATGTCTCCAAGTATTTCTTTTGCATCCTTGATACTGCTAGAAGGATTGCTCTCGATATCATAATCCCCACCCGTGTTGTATTATTTCAACATGGCTGTTATTCACATTGGTTAGTACATTGGTTCTCCAGTTTGATGGAATACACGCACTCATACAATGAAATATCCATCATATTTCATCGTCCTAATCGGTATTTATAGTGCTATTCAAGTTTAAGCCTGAGGCTACAGAAGAGCACAAGGCAAGGTTCGTAACAGAGCTGAAGAAGTTGAGAAATCTGCCTTGCGTCCAGAACCAGCAGCTCACTGTTGGTGGACCATCCATTACAACGCCAATTGAGCGAAGCAAAGGCTTTGAGATCTCGCTACTCAGCTTTCACAAAGATCATGCCGCCTTAGAAGAGTATCAGGCCAGCAAAGAGCATCACAAGTAAGTCATGGTCGGTCGAAAAGCATTATCGATATGTTAACGAATCAACAGAGTCACCAGCGAGCTCCTTTGGCCGTTTGCGGAAGATATCACAAGGTTTGACTTTGAAGTCAATGGAGATGACCTTCATGGGTTCCAGGGCTTGGTGCGACCAAATAATGGATAAATTATAAGCGATACATGACAAAGTGCATCCAGCTGGCTCATCTTCTGGGTGAAAGCCGTGGTCTCCTTCAGCGCATCTAGTTTCACCGAAAATAAAGATATAGATGATAGATATTCTTAGAGCCTCAAAATTGGTGTCGATTGCCAACTCATAATTGGAATTAGACTAGGGAATAATAAGCTCTTTCTTGTCAACCTGATCCTTAGGAAGTCTCCCAGCACCTTTGATCTGTCCGGTACGACGATTTATCGTAGCGTAAAAGGTACGCTAGAATTAAATTCATAAATTCAATATATCTATCCATCACGCAACCACGACATCTTTATTCGTCTTCGCACTCTCAATGACAGCCTCGATCAATCGTAAAACATCTCTCGCCTGGGTTGCTCTCACAGGGACATCCTTATCCTCGCCACTCGCGAGGGCTTTGGCCAGTTCCACATAAAAGGCCTTGTAAGTGGCTGGCTCGTTTTCAGGGGTTGGAGCCTCTCCAGGGATATTGTTTTCGTCCACAAGTATGAGCTTTAGGTCCTTGGGATCATCTCTCCCGAAGCCAGGGTCCGTCGCCTTCATTCCAGCTATCAATTGATCCTCCTGGGGATCGAGGGTCCACTTCTGGAAACTCCCCTTGGTGCCACGAACCCAGAACCTGGGCTGCACAACTTCGGCGCTCAAAACGCTGGTACGAATGTTGACGAGTAAACCATCAGGGTACGTGAGTTCCACGGCGATGCTGTCTGGTGTCTGGAAGTCAAATCCGCCGTTGCGCTGAGAAAGCAGCCTGCCATGAACAGTTTGCGGCATGCCGAAGAGGACGTACGCTTGATCAATTAGGTGGCTACCGAGATCAAATACCATGCTGCCTCCCTTTTCAATGGGCAGGCCGGCCGACCAATTGCTGGGGGGCTCAGGGTTGTATCGCGCGAAATGGCTATCGTATTGCAGAATGCGACCCAAAGTTCCCTTGGCCACGAGGTCCTTTATTGTGAGAAAGTCGGAGTCCCAACGCCTGTTCTGATACACACATAGAAGGCGGTTTTGCACCTTTGCAATGGAGATGAGCTCGTTGGCGGCGGCCGAAGTCGGTACAAACGGCTTCTCTGTGAGTACATGCTTGCCTGCTTCCAAGCTTGCTTTGGTCAACTCGAAATGGTTATCTGGAGGTGTGCCGACAACGACTAGATCAACGGCTGGGTCGGCGAGAAGGTCTTTGTAGTGAGTGTAGTGCTTGATGTCGGGGTAGTCGGCGGGGGCGGAGTTTCCAGGTTTTGGTGACCGTTGGACAATGCCATAGAGCCTGAATTGAGGCAGCTGTGTGAGAAATGGTATATGGAATATCTTGGCCGAGGAACTAAGAAGAGAATCTTGGTCAGTCGCAGATGATAGATGCTTTGGGCTCTTACACATCTTACCCATAGCCAACGATGCCGACGTTGAAAGCTCGAGCAGCCATTCTTGATGATTTATCCACACTGATGATTGGCTAGGCTAAGATAATTTACCACAGAGATCGTAAGGTAATAAACTCAAAGAAAACATCAGCCAAATATCGACCCCAGTGGAATCGGGCAGCTTTTATATCAAGCTAGTGACCGATTTCACGAAGGGTCGTGGGGGATGTTGACGTATGTCGACCCAAACGAACTTCCATTTCGACCATTTTAGGTATTGCTCGCCGAACTGGTCGTAAATCAGCAAGATTAGATTGCGGGAATAAAGCGAGCGTCACATCTCACAACGGAATCGGTGCCCGATTCAGCGGATGCGGGGTCCCGTCTTTTTCGACAGGGGTAAAGGAGGTAGTATCACCCCGCATCTCAGAAGTGGTGTTTGTCAAACAATGAGGATATTTGAGTCATTGAGAAGTGTATGTCAATGCTGTAATGGCAAATCGCAACTGGAACTGCTGCAGGAGTCAATTCAAGTCTAAATCTCTGAAGTATATGTAGGGAAGGTATTTTATGCACGCATTAATGGGGCAAAGTGAGGTTGCGAGGGATGCAGAATTCGTAGGGGTGGCGCAAGCAGACATAAGCCCGGCATGGTTTGTAGACCTTAGTATGGCGGCAAGACTTGTGATTTTAGTTTATACAAGGCTTGCAGGTCTGGCAACGCTGACAGCGCTGAATGAAGAGCTCTGATTGCCTAGGTGTGTTGGGCACAGGAACAAGTCATTGCCTACCCTATAGCACTGCTTTCTTCGTCACAGCAAACCCTACAAGGTCTTCATGCATGAAAGATGAACAGTATAACGGTTTCTTTACAGACTTAGTTGATGTATTACATAGAACTAGATTTTTAGTGAATATATTTCCGCTCAACTTTAGCTTATCTATACAATCAAGCTTAAGACGACACTCAGTACAATGTTGTACGCAAATACCATGAGCTATAATCAAGATCAATTTAGCCAACTAGCTTAGATACAGACGATAAAACAGGCCGAAAAGAATGACTCGAGTCCAATTCATGTTTGCCAGTAAGCGCATGGGACATCTACCACCGATCAAAAAGCACAATCAAATGAAAGTAAAATATCAAAGGAACAACGTCCAAGTTTGGTGTCTGCTATCTTAGTCTGTGGTATTATCTCTCGTATCTAACTGAATTATGGCCTATCAATATACGGCATCTATGTATTACGACATAGATAACCCTGAGCATTAGAATTGTAAAAGTATATTATGAAGAAAATACAAGCCGCTTAAGCGGGGAGCTTGAAGCCAGAGTGGCGGAGCTTCTGGAAGACTCCCTTGGGGTCGTAGTTCTTCGCAGTAGCTTTGAGGTGGTCGACGACCTCGGAACCGTAGTTCTTAATGGGGTCCTGGTCGCCAAGAGCGTAGTTCAGATATTTCCATTCCTTGTGGATGCCGATGGACTTGGCGTACGCAAGGGCGGCGTCGCGATACTCAATGGTCAGGTGGTTGATCTTCTCCTGGTTCGCGGCAGTGTCAACAGTGACAGCAATGAGCCACATGAGCGTGTCGCCATCCTTGACGACTTCCTCGAGGCCGAGGGAGTTTCCGCCGTTGGCCTCGCCGTGAGAAACTTGGTGCTTGGTCACGGGTTGGTATGAGATCAAGATGCTGAAGACGGCACCGGGTGCAGCGGCTTGCATCTTCACGACGTACTCGGCATGCTTCTCTTCGATGAAGTTCATAATACGGACGTCATTCTTAGTCTGGCCAGTCATCCAGTTGGCACTAACGTTTCTCTTGTTAGAAACCCGCGAACTGGCAGATAGGAAAGGAACGGCGCTTACTAGAGACCAAGAGGGGTAGGGCCAGTGAACTGAGGAACAAGCGTGGCAATGTCACCAGTGCTCAGGGTATTGGAGACACCAGGGATGGAGAGTATTCTGTCGAAGATGGGAGCGTTCGCAACGCCATCGACGTTGGAGACGACGGCAACGAGAGATCGCTGCTTTCCATCCCACTGGACGGAAGCAATGAGCTGTGAGGCAGGGTCGTTGTCCATCTCCTTGACGAAGTCGATGTAGGCCCCGAAGACAGCATCTCGGTGCTTTGTGATGTCAAAGATAGCGAAGCCACCCCAGAGCTGGTTGTGGTCAATGGTGCCTAGGTAAGGTCAAAGAGGTTAACACATCAGCCGAAGGGACTATTCAGCGAATAAGCTAATTCTTACGAGTATCAACGCGGGTGACGAAACCAAAGTTCCCAGATCCGCCCTTGAGAGCCTTCCAAAGATCACGGTGCTCGTTGGCATTGGCGTTGACAATGGACCCATCAGCGAGGACAACCTCGAAATTGACCACATTATCGCAAGCGAATCCATTGGTATTGGTGTGGAATGAGTACTAGACGGCTGTTAATTGACGACTATCCGGAGATCCTCTGAGGACAACACATCGAGGAGTTTACTTACACCTCCACCAGTGGTGAAACCGCCAACACCGACAACGGATGCACGACCACCAACAACGGTGACGCCGTAGGGGGAAAGGGCTTCGAAAGCAAGACCCCAGTTTGATCCTGGCTGGATGGAAGCGACCTTCTTATCCGACTGGTAGGTAGTCGCGTTCATGTAGGCTGGAGGGAAGAGTTAGTCAAACACCAGCCAAGTCGAAGTAAACTTTGCCCTTTGTCATATACGTACAGAAATCAACGGTGATACCATCGGCAACACCATTGGAGCCCTTGAAGGCAGAGTGGGCACCACTTCGAATACCGAAGGGGCACTCCTTCGTGGAGATGACCTTGGCAATGGCTGAAACATCCTCCGTGGAGGTGGGCAGCACCATGCAATAGGGTGCTAAGGCGGCATTGGCCGAGTAGTATGTCTTCAAGCGCGCATCGTAGGCACTGGTGTTTGGCAGATAGATCTTGCCCTTGAGGGAAGGGATCTTCCCCAGAGAGGAACACTATGGTGGGTGGCTGTCAGTGACATACTCTGAGACTCGGCTAGGTATGTGAGGCTGAGAAAGAGGGAGTAAGGAGGAGTAGGAGGCTGCAGCTGAAAGGGGAAGCTTACGCATTTCGTACAGTCCCGGGATGCAAGGGCTGGAAGCGCGAGAGCAGCAGCTCCCGCAGCAATCGCGGTGACCTTCATGTTTGGAGCAGGATATTCACAACAGAACTTGCTAATGAGCGTAGGCTCTTTCGAAGATGAAGATCGACGAAGAAACAGAGGAGATGAGAGAAACCGGATGGGTACGGGGAAAAGAGGAGGAGGAGGGATAGAGAGTGAACGAGCTGATGGCCTCTTTGACACCCGCTAGTTCGTGAAGCCACGAGGGCTAGGTTGTCTATTTAATGAGATTGTTCGCAGCGTTGAGAGTGAGGTGAGCGGGTCTGACTGCAGGCACCAAAATCAGCCCGTCGAGTACTCGCCAAGCGAGAGATCGGGGTTATCCCGCAAGTGCGCAGTAGTTCATCACCTCGCCTCGCTCTGCCCTGGGCCTCCATCTTTGCTTGTGTTTCCCTGCAGCTGAGGGAACAACGGCACGGGCAGGATGCGAGTGCCCACTCAACTCTCAGCCGCCCATCCTTTTCGTATCAACACGTAAGGCATCGCTCTTGCTTATGCACACTCACACCTCGTAGCCTGGACTGGCCTTGTTCTGAGCAACCCCTGCAAAGTCCCCGCGAGACCTGATGAGATCTAGAGCGATGCAGTATCAAGAGTCCAAGGGTTCCCTGCCGGGAGAATAATGCGACTCATCGCTAGATCGTCGTGCTAAGTCGTAAATTGCAATCTTGATGCTGATCAATCTCCAAGCCTCCACCCTTCCCTCCTCTGTGCCCACCTTGCACCAGCCGTCGTTTCTTTCGCACGCTAAGGTGTAAGCTTCACCCAGATAGTCTGGTATTCTGCTCGTAGCGAACCTTTTCGAGTCCTGGGAGGCTTGGGGGCGCTTTGAGCTCCCGAGGGGAAGGTTCCACTTCGCGTGGCTCCTCGACGACGGATTTGGGGCCGGGACGATGCCGTCTGAGAATCCGTCGCTTGGAATACGCTTCTTTTAAGGATAGCTTGCCACTAAGCCACCTGGACTAGACTCAGCATGGGGAGGGGTGGAGAAACTGGGCAAATCTCTCATCCCAGCTGGTAGCCCGGTTTCAAGCCAAAGACCCAGCCAGGGCCAAAAAAGAAAGGATGGAGGGAGAAAGCAACACAGCGATCCGATCGGCAGCGCGGCAAGAGCACGGCACATCTCTTAAATAAATGAAATCGCGAAGTGATCGGCATCACATCTCAGTAGGCTCCGTTGGAATGCTATACACGTGGCAAGGACACAGTAACACTTCCAGGAAAACGACGCTGATGGAGAGCGTTAAGTAGATACTACGTATAGACAACAGCAAGCGCTCAATGACAACTGACTTTCAGGGTGGCCATCCCCCGTCCCCCTTCCCTTCCCCTTCCCCTTCCCCCTTCCCTTCCCCTTCCCCTTCCCCCTCCACACCCCCTTCCTTCTGGCCCCGAGGAATTTGGAGGGCCCAAGGGGTACTCTGTGCTCCGCTCTCATGTTTTAGGTCGCTAAGGTTATCTTTTATTGGGCACGCTTGCTCTACGCGTAAAGTTTTATTTACCCGCCAAGGCAAGTGTTGAACCCTGTCGGCCGTAACAGTCGGCTGTCGCTACAGACTGCTCTCTCGTGTTTTGTTTGTGGCTGCTGGCTGACAAGAGTTAGGAAGACACCACCAAAGGGCGCCTTTTCCTGCCTTGATTTTCCTAGACTAGCACATTCTGAGACAGTCTTGTGTCTCACTGACACAGGTTTGTGTGTGCCGGCCGGAAAATCATTGCATTGAATATGGGGGTACTTTTGGTGGTTGAGACATGGAACATACGGACAATACGTGAGCTGGGCGCTTCAATGACCAAGGGGAAGAAACGTAGGTTGCATTGGCTACCTACAGGTGTTGAGTCAGTCATATTTCCCAATATTCTAATGGTGGTCATCCCTATCCGACCTGAATTGCCGCAACACGGAAGAGGGAAACCGAGAACATAAACAGCTCAGACCAGGTGTACCGCCACCCATCTTGTCGTGTGCCTAAGGTGGTCAAGCCGGCAGGGATTTACACCCCATCGAGAAAGGCGTTTCCTTCAGCGAACGCACCACGGGGGATGGTCACAGAACTAATCAACCCGGGGGCAAGCAGTCATGCACTAGCTGGGACGCGGATGTCCCTGGGCATCGCCACGGCTTGTTCTGCCATCTGCATTATCATGCTCAGCACCTATAGCACATGGATGTATATACGCAGCAGCCGCCCAATCGACCGGTTCCGCTTTCTCGCATACGCACACACGTGTTTTCCTACATATGTGGATGCCACGACGTCTCCCTTTGCTTCTGGATGATCTGCGTGTGTTCCTTTCTACTTCTTCCTGCTGCTCAATTCGCAAGGGATCTGGTGATACATAGATGATCGTGCCCCTCTCCCCATGATCCATTGCTGCCAAAAGGAAAGATGACGACGCCACAGTTTCCAATCGTCAACGGCGTCGAGGTCTTCCGTGAGCCTCCACCCGGATATGTGGTCGACTTTGAACACCCCCAGTCCCAAAAGGTCATGGAACACTACCTCATCTTTGGGCTGATGGGACCTTTGGCCCTCATCGCCTTGGCGCAGCGATACTACACCAAGATGTTCCTCTCCAAGGGTCTGCAGTTGGATGACTGTGAGTGTGCCACCCCGGATTTTCTGTGCCGTTCAATAGGATCTTATTGACCCGACCTCACCAGTGTTCATGTTCTTGGGATGGGTGTGTAGCATCTCACCGGAAGGAATAATACACCGTGCTGACGATTCCCTAGATGGCATCTGTCGCGACGCAGGCCCTACTAATAGGTGAGCATAAGTCTCCGAGGCATCATTCTTAATGTCTCCGAGCCACCTTCTTCTCAGCTGAACGTCTCTTCTGACTCCCAATGACCAGCCTCAATCCTGCAAGGTGGCATGTGCCACCATAGCTGGGAGCAATCACTAGAGAACTTCGAGCGGTATGCATTCGTACGTCTGTCTCCTCGGCCATGAAACGAAATACGCAAAGTCTAACACGGTTTTGGTTCTCAGATGACCTACTTGGCAGCGCCCATCTACATGCTTTGTTTGTCTGCCCCGGCTGAAATGTTCGCAATCATGCCACTAATCCGTCTCAATTCACAGGCAACGGTTTCACCAAGCTCTCCCTGCTTACCTTCTACCTTCACCTGTCGCCTCAGAAGTGGTTCCGCATCGCTGTCTGGACCTCCCTCGCGATCGTGGCCGTCTACACAATCGTCATCACCCTACTCATGTTCTTCGGGTGCACTCCGCCCCAAAAGGCCTTCCAGTTCAAGACGACGGGCCAATGCATCAATGCCGGCATCTTATACATGGCCACGGCGGTCTCCAACATCATCACCGATACGATGTTGTTTGTTCTCCCGATTCCGATGATATATAAGCTCCACATGCCTGTCAAGATGAAGATTGGTGCCATTGTGGTATTTGGGATTGGATCTATGTACGTTGTTGTTTTCCATGTTCGCTGCGACAACTGGTTAACAATTATTTAGTACCATTGCGACGTCTATCGTGCGACTGGTGTATCTACCTACGTTACTACAAAGCACAGATCCCTCGTGGGATGCTGCGCCGGCTGACATTTGGACGTGAGTTGCAACTTCTCAACCTACTTGCCATTCACCCCCGATTACCGGTTGCTAACAAGCATTCATCAGGTTCGTCGAGGGCAATTTATTCGTCATCTGCGGCTCGATGCCCACTCTCCGCAAATTCTTCAAGCACTTCGTGCCACGTCTCCTGGGATCCAGCTACGGCAGCTCAGGCTACCAGTACGGGGCTGGAGGAACATCTGGTCAGGCCCAGAGCCGATCCGTCATGACGCGCCTCCGGAACAAGCACAAGTCGTACTCGCAATTCCCGGCCGACGGAGAGTCCAACGAGATGCAGACACTGGCCACCAACGGGGGCAAGAATGGCGAGCGGACCGTGACGATATCGGTCGCTGACCGAACGAGCAGTGACCAGAAGCCTGACGACCACAGCGAGAAGGCTATCCTCCAAACGAAGAGTTTCACTGTACAGTACGGCGGCGCGTAGGGCCGCTTCTTTTGCGCTTCGCCCAGGCTGCTTTGAAAAGTTTACAATTATAACTGCATTTACTAATTAATTCTGGCTCTCCTCGAACCGACGCGGGGGATTGATTGGGTGTGAATGAGAACACGATAGACCATAGACCATTATCAATCAATACTGAACCATTTTCTTTCTACAAGGACCAGTCCCAGCTAATGCGGCGGCTGACGCTGCAGGATGTAACTTCGCTCAAGGTCATTTTCACGCTCTTGCCTCCCAGTCTAGCACAGAGGCCAGACCATGCAAGGCTCCGTAATGGACCTGATATTGCAGGGGATGGTGATATCTCCCGATGGGCGGGACTGGTCGATGAACGAACTGCGGACTCATCGTGGGAAATCAGGGGCCAGGAGCCCCCCTGCACCTTTTCTTTTCTTTTTTCCCATCGATTTCCCCAGGACTCCTGGCCCAGGAGGCTGGGCACTGTGTTTGGAAATTGAAATGCCGCATGGAAAACCAGACTGCCGACATCATTATCATCCTGAAAGGCTTGATTCCGAGGCCGCCGGATTGCCAGATATTGATTACCTTGAGTCTTTGACCCTGCTGCCAAGCGATGAAGACTCTCCGCCGGGTGGATAAGTCTCCCCAGAGTCAGGGGAATTCATCCCTACCCGTGCCTCCGTCAGAAAATCAGCGAGGAACCCGCTCCCGCTCCATCTTGGGTCCCTGATCTTGGGCCGCCCGCCAGTCAGTAGTTTTTCTTTTATTTGCCGCGCGATAAATTAATTCGTAACCGTCAGAAGGGGGGTGTGAGTGGCTCCCTCCTAATAGTCGCGGGGAGACAGCCCGGGCGAACGAGAACCCTGGCCTTGGATACCGCTAGGAGGGTGTCGGACGACGAACGGGATTTTGATTAATCACCAGAAACCTGCGCAGCACTAGACCAGGGCTTTCTTGGCTTTTGAGGCACGGACTCGCCAAACCCCACGCTGGGCTTGAGACCCCGTCTGTAGGGGAAGAATTGTCCGAAGACGTTGGGCCAGACAGCTCGCTTGCTCGGCACGGCGCTAGGTCATTTCGTAATCAGATGCTAATGCCGGCTTAGGGAGTAGGCAAGAGACCGACCCTTGGCAAGCCAGGTAGGTCCTGGGTGTGTTCTAGCCAACTGAGGCAATTCTAGCGACGTTGTCGAGTTACTTGATACGGGCTTGGAAATGCGGAATTGAGGAGTGAAGCAGGGTGCTGGGGGATGAGGAAGGTCAGTTGGCGCAATTGGCTATTGCAAGTCCATCATTGGTCTACGGAAATGAACCATGGTTCGCAGTAACCATAAATCTCAACGAACTCCAACACACAATGACACTGAAGTCGCCTGTCACCGGTATCCTGGCTAGCTCGTGTCATGTATTCAGTGACAAAACCACTCGGATAGTTCCGTCTATTCCATTCACTCGCCGTCCTATACCCGGTAGCCTCTCATTGCCGCTAGTAGCGAGATTTGTTTAGTATCCTGCTCGAAGGTGAATCAGATCTTACTTTGTCTACCCAAGGGCCTAGAATCGGCCGACATCTTCTTGTCGCGCGTCGACTTAGTGTCGTGCCTTGCGGCTGTCGCCTCTGGCTGGTGAACTCGCTCAACACCATCAAGGACCAACATGTCAGACTTGACAAGCTGCTGCCAACGGTGCAGCCACACTGGTAGACCATTTATGTTAGCCTGCCTGAGCCTCGTCCTATTGTTTTCATTGTATAAGTGCTTACTTGGACAAGGCCTGGACTTTCACACCCATTTTAGAGACTCTCGGGTAAGGGAGAGGATGTCACTCCTCGCTTAGCCAGGTTTGAAGTTGCCTCTTGATTTGTAAGTATGTCCGATTCATTCTGACAGGAAGCTAATGATAACTTGACGGCCAGGGATGCAAGGTCCAGACTAGGCGGAACGTCTGATGTGCGTGCTACCAGTGGTGCCTTGAGTACCTACATGTAGGGATCCAGACTGCATCGCACGTGTAGCATCTAATCAAATGCAGGAGTCTGAGGAATCACGAAGGCTGGTTGGCCTGGTTCCACCTCTTGAGATAAGAGAGGTAAAATGGTGGTCAATGAAAGCTTGCTGCTTGGGTGAAGCCGCACGCGTGTCCCTTCGCTCGGCCCTCGGCTTGATCATGGACCGGCAGCTGTCACTATTACTTGATGCAGCCATGGCGGCAGCTCCCTGGGCAGCGCGCGACACATCTGCGCCTTCGCGGCGGCATCAACTTCACATGGGCCTTTATAATACGATCATTTCGCTTTACACAGGCATGGCTGAGTGAGGCTGGGCAATGAGATGAGGCTGATTGAGATCACCCGCGACACTGTCGCTGAATATTCACAATGCGGGGACAGAAAGGTGGCATCTTGTATCACCTTACGCAAAATGATTCATTATTTGCGCATCTACTCCAATCCAGAGCTGCTTTTCCCAATGTATTCGAAGCCGACAGTGTGAGTCACCTCATCTCTCTCCTCTCCTCCCGCATCCACTGACGATGACACAAGCCGAATGTGCTTACTAAAAGCATCCGCGATTCCGCAGTCGGAGGGGAAGATGGATGTTAAAGCGCTCAACCACGACACAATCCCGGAATTGCTGTCTCCCTCACCGAGAAAAACATATCCAGCTTGAAGATTTCTGATACATCACCGGCACCATGAGCCCAAGCGCACCGCTCAAGTTCGCCGTCGCCCTGTTCGAGGGCTTCCAGGCCCTCGACGTCTTCGGCCCGCTGGACATGCTCAACCAGGCGTCCAAGACCGAGGCCATCGAGTTCGTCGTGCTGGGCCATACCCTGAATGCCATCTCCACGCTGAACAAGGTGGCGGGCGTGCCTACGCCGCCGACCATCGGGCAGAGCGTCGTGCCGACACACACCTATGACGATGCGCCCGACGACATCGAGGTGCTGCTCGTGCCGGGCGGCATTGGCGCGCGGGACCTGGAGCACACACAGAAGGTTGTGGATTTCATCAAGGGGCGGTACCCGAAGCTCAAGTACCTGCTTACCGTCTGCACTGGGGCCGCGCTGGCCGCGAGGTCTGGGGTGTTGGACGGCAGAGAAGCCACGTCCAACAAGAAGTCATTCAAATGGGTGGGTTTACATCTTCCCCTAGCGCTTCATTGATGCCGTGAGCTGACAAGAGATGTGCGGTAGGTCGTATCCCAGAGAAGCGAGGTCAAGTGGGTTCAAGAAGCGCGATGGGTGGTTGATGGAAACATCTGGACGTCCTCTGGCATCTCGGCCGGTATCGACATGATGCTGGCCTTTATCAAGGACCAGTACGGCGCGAAGTTGGCCGAGGACGTCGCCATCGCGTCAGAGTATGTGTGGAACAAAGATTCTCAGGAGGATAACTTCGCCAAGTACTGGCTTTGAGGACCTGGCTGGACAAACCCAAGTGGCTGGGAGAGAAACCATGGAGAATTGAGCACGTCACATTGTCTCAGCTGAACTAGATCAAACCCACGGTCTGCCTTGTACCTATAAATGATAGTCTCACCGCGCCATGCATGCAGACCGGCGGTGAACTGGCAGATGATGAGAAATGATAAAATTTGCAACCTCCCTGACCTGTAACCGGGGCGTCCGTCTCGTGAGTCGCAGAGATTGGCATCACGTCTCCTTCGCTTGAGTTCCCTCGGCTTCGGCTTCGGTTCGACAGACAAATTTGATCCTGGCACGCCTTCGGCTCTCTCCACCTGTTCTTGATGCTTATTAGCCATTTGCCCCGCAAAATCTGTGCTCCCAAAACCCTGGCCCAGGCTTCACTTCTCCGCACAATTGCTCCAGCCACCGGGACGCCCGGGGAGGCACAGGCAGGCAAGGGCTGCTCGATCGAATGCAACTCCCGCGCAGCCCGACAGGCATCAATGATGCTAGTGCCCTCCTCTTTGGTAGCGATCTGGTGTTGCCGGTCTGTTGTACCAGTTCCAGACCGGGTTGTGTGGGGGGAGAAGCACTTGTCTTGTCCCGGCAGCGGATCCGGCAGCAAAGTTGGGGCCACAGCCTCGTAGCACCGGGCCGGTGATGGCTTCGTCGATTGTTTGACAAACAACCTACACAATGCCGTCTTGTTACATGAATAATTACGGCATCGCTGATACGAGCCCGGGGTCCGGACCAGGGAGAAAAACACCAGTCAGCCGGCTGATGATGTCAATTGCTCGGGCTGGCAATGGCAGCGTGCAGTGCAGGATTTTTCCTGGAGTGGTCAGGCCGGCCCACGAACCTCATCTCAGCCTCATCTCAGCCGCCACTCCATGATGAGTTTTGCAAGTTCTCCGCTGGGGGGATGAGCGCTGCTAGGCTGTGAGATGCACATTCCCGGCGTATGAATTGCAAGATGGGGTCACGATTGAGGAGTGTCCTCTCGGTAGACAGACCAATCTACTCGCCATTCTATCATGCCTGTCACCATCGTCGATAGTCTTGATGGCGTTTCTCCAAACCGAGAACTCTTCTGGCTTCACAAGGCGAACGGCGTTCTTATGGCTGAGCCGAGGAGCCACAAGTCATCATGAAGACGGCTCCGGCCTACGCGCCGACCTCCTCGGCGGCGATCCTCCAGCTTCACCTTAACCCAAGCTCCGTAAACTCAGACCACTCCGGCATCAGGCCACCGACGCACGGCCCCGCAAGCTTCCTCGAAGCTTCCAGCTTTCTAGCCCATCCCCAGGATGCAGATGCTGATAGGGCGAGGAAGGTGTGTAATCCGATGGCAAGGCCCGCCGAGGCGGCAGCCAGCACCCTCATTGGGTCATATCAACATCCCCTTCTGCATCCGGTAATTTCTGGTGTTGGCAGTGGTCTTTCGGTCAAGAGGAAGGAAGTGAGGCCGCGGCAAGAACCCCGAGAGTTTGGGGTTGTTGCAGTCAAGGTTCGTGACGATGTGGATGACCATGGCATGTAAATGCCGCAGAGATAATATGGCATGATGGGCACGTTAATTTCAGGCAAAATAACAACCATCTTCTTTTTATATACTCTCAAATCTATTATTGAATTGCTGTGGTGCCTCAATCTATGGTATCTAATATCGTCCCTCCAGCGTCCACCGACAGACACCATCTAAAACCAAGTAAAAAAAGCGGCGTTTCTCATAAAAAAGCTTAGAGGGCAGGTCAAATTTTCCCTTCAAGGAAAAATTCGTGAGGGTCCTAGGAAAGAGGGCTGTTTATTGCGGATCAATCCCGGTCATGATCATCTTGGTTGTCAGAAACTCGTCAATTCCATACTTGCTGCCCTCGCGACCGAAACCGCTCTGCTTGACGCCGCCGAAGGGAGCAGCAGGATCACTGATGGCGCCTGTAAAAATTAATCTTGTCAGCTGTCTTGCCTACATTTCGGTACTGACTGAAATCGACGGGGTGATTGTGGACTTACCAACGTTGACACCGACCATGCCAACCTCGAGCGCCTCGGCAACTCTCCAGCACCTGCTTGCGTTTTTGCTGAAGAAATAGCCCGCAAGACCGACGTCAGAGTCGTTGGCCAGGTCAATCGCCTCCTGCTCCGTGTCAAACGCGAAGAAAGCCGCGACCGGGCCGAACGTCTCCTCGGTGCAGACCTTCATTCCGGGCTTCATGTCGGCGAGGACGGTGATGTCGAAGAAGTTGGGGCCGAGGTGGGTGAGCGGCTGGCCGCCGTGCAGCAGGCGCGCGCCCTTGGAGACAGCATCCTGGACGTGCTCGTGGACCTTGGCGACGGCGCGGCCGTGGATCAGGGGTCCGTGGGTGGTCTTGTCGCCGAGCCCGTCGCCAATCTCGAAGGTGCGGACCACGTCGAGGACCTTTTGGATGAAGGCGTCGTACACGCTGCGGTGGACCAGGATGCGGTTCGCGCACACGCAGGTCTGGCCTGTGATTCTGAACTTGGACGCGACGAGGCCGCGGACGGCGACGTCGAGGTCGGCATCCTCGAAGACGATGAATGGGGCGTTCCCGCCGAGTTCGAACGAGAGCTTCTTGAGCGTGGAGGAGCACTGCTTCATCAACAGCCTCCCGACCGGTGTAGATCCAGTGAACGAGACCTTCTTGATGAACGGGTGTGTCGTCATGGACAGGCCAACCGCAGGTGTGTTGTCCAGGGCGGTGATGACGTTGACGACGCCTGCAGGAATACCAGCCCGGTGAGCGAGCTCCGCGAGAGCCAGCGCCGAGAAAGGTGCCTCAGCCGGGGCCTTGATGACGGTCGTGCACCCGGCGGCGAGAGCAGGGCCTGCCTTGCGGGTGATCATGGCAGCCGGGAAGTTCCACGGAGCAATCAGGCCGCAGACACCCACAGGCTCCTTGATCGTGACAAGCCGGCAGTCTGGGTTGCTCGCCTGGATGGTGTCACCGTAGATGCGCGGGGCCTCCTCCGAGAACCATTCGAGGAACGAGGCTGCGTACTTGACCTCGGTCACGGCGTCTGCCAGCGGCTTGCCGTTCTCGGCGGTGATGATGCGGGCGAGGTCATCGACATTCTCCATCATCAGGTCGTACCAGCGACGCAGAAGCTTTGAGCGCGCACGCGGCGTGGTTTTGCGGTAGGTCTTGAAGGCATTCTGGGCAACCACAATGGCGGCTTCGGTGTCTGCGACGTCGAACTCAGGGCAGACAGCTACTTCAGCCGTGGTGGATGGGTCTGGAAGCGAGCACCGTGTTAATTATGCTCCCAGCTGCATGGGGAAGAGATCACGGAGCGGCAGGGCTTGCTTACTCTCGACTGAGAAGACCTTGCCGGACTGGGCGGGAACCCATTTCCCGTCTACGTAGCATTCAGTCCGCAAGAGGGAGGTATCACTGAGCTGGAACGAACACGTTGTTAGCCCACGCATCGCCCATCGGGGTTGCAGTGCAGCAGAGTCGAGATGGGGAGGCGCACCTGAATCGCCATTTTGTTGGGGTATTGACCGAACTCGGTGTCTGATCCTGGTCTTGGGCCTGTACGAGTCCTGTTTTGGTTGCAGGGAGGATGAGATCTGGGCATTCACGTTGGGCTCGAACACGACTGTAATGCATCACACCGGCTGGCGCACCATGTTTCTTCTTATACAACTACGATTGAGACTACGGCACGTAGGTTCAGAACCGGCACACAGGCAACGACGAGGATGGCGGCCTTCCGCTTATCAAGCCGGATGAGTGACGCGAGAACGGCAGCCTCTGTGATGAAGATTCTCTTCAGACCGAGCGAGCGATAAGGAAGGCTAGCACCACGGGGCTGCTTGGCTGGAGGAGGGGACTGCCAGCTAGAGGCCGGCATCGCAATTCTGATGAATTGCTTCACTCATCATTGCTGTCCTGTCCAGAGCAGAGCAGAGCAATGCAAGCCGCCTGAGATAAGACCGGCCCGGGATTGAAGGCGAGCCGCGTGGGTCCAAGCCGCGATCGCTCGTCGCTCCTCTGGCTGAGGCCCAGCCCCGATACTGGAATTGGCTAGTTTTTGGGCCAATCTGGAGAAAAAAAGCAAGGGGCACGGCGTGCTATGGCATGTGACGAGGGCGGGAACGGATAGTTCGTTCTGGGCCAGTCACAGCCAGCAGTCTCTGGCTGGCTTGCAGATCAGGCTCTGGGCCGGTTGCGACTCGCCGACCGGCATGAGACCGCATACACGCTCTATCTCCCAGTCACTCACGGGGTAGCCGTTGGGTCTGACAAACACACGCTCGGGGGAGATTCGGTAGCTTGGGCTAGCTAACGTGGGGGGGAGGCTCCGTCAGCGATGATTTAAGAAGCCCGTCCACCTCGATGGTGATGGGTTTCCTCTTCCCCTCATGACAATCCATTGACTGCAAGCTCGAGAGAACCTTTCCTTTTTGCATTCTTTGATACCCAGATAGTCTCGTTTTCTCTCTCGAACAAGCACAGTCAACATGCCTGCCATCATCGAGTCCTCGGTCGTGGCCGAGATCCCCGGCCCTCTGTCCAAGGCCGCCGCCAAGCAGCTGGATTCTGTCTGGGACTCCCGTGCCGTCTACTTCGTCGCCGACTACGACAAGAGCGAGGGCAACTAGTACGCATCCTCTGAGCCGTGATTTGGGTCGAATTGAGCTAACCACCTTGCAACAGCATCGTCGATGTCGACGGCAACAAGTTCCTCGATGTCTACTCCCAGATCGCCTCCATCCCCGTGGGCTACAACAACGCCGCCCTCATTGAGGCTGCCAAATCCCCCGAGATGATCTCTGCTCTGGTCAACCGCCCTGCCGTCGGCAACTTCCCCTCCAGCCAATGGCACGACATCCTCAAGAACGGCCTCCTTCGCATCCACCCCGACGGACTCGACAAGATCTTCACAGCCCAGTCAGGATCCGAGGCCAACGAGCTGGCCTTCAAGGCCGCCATGATGCTCCACCGCCGCAAGGAGCGTGGTGAGGGCGTCGACTGGACGCACGAGGAGATCTCCTCTTCCATCAACAACTCCAAGCCCGGCTCCCCCGACCTCGCCGTCCTCTCCTTCGCCAACTCCTTCCACGGCCGCGGCTTCGGCTCCCTCTCCACCACCCGCTCCAAGGCCGTCCACAAGCTCGACATCCCCTCCTTCGACTGGCCCAAGGCCACCTTCCCCGCCCTCAAGTACCCCCTCGAGAAGCACGTCGAGGAGAACGCCGCCGAGGAGAAGCGCTCCCTCGACGAGGTCGAGCAGCTCATCACCTCGTGGCGCTTCCCCGTCGTCGCCCTCATCGTCGAGCCCATCCAGAGCGAGGGCGGCGACAACCACGCCTCCCCGGCCTTCTTCCAGGGCCTCCGCGACCTGACCAAGAAGCACGGCGTCACCTTCATCGTCGACGAGGTCCAGACCGGCTTCGGCGCCACCGGCAAGTTCTGGGGCCACGCCCACTGGAACCTCACCTCGCCCCCGGACATCGTCACCTTCTCCAAGAAGGCCCAGACGGCCGGCTACTTCTTCGGCGACCGCCAGCTCGTCCCCGACAAGGCCTACCGCCAGTTCAACACCTGGATCGGCGACCCAGCCCGCGTCATCATGAGCGGCGCCGTCGTCCGCGAGATCCTCGACAAGAAGCTCGTCGAGCAGACCGCCCGCGTCGGCGAGGTCCTCTACGCCGAGCTCGAGAAGCTGGCGATCAAGTACCCCGAGTACATCAAGAACCTGCGAGGCAAGGGTCAAGGGTACGTCATCTACGCTTCCACGCTTTCTGTGTTCTTTTTGCTAACAATTCCTCGCAGTACATACATCGCCTTCGACACCGTCGACTCGGCCACCCTCGTCAAGTCGATGAAGAAACTCTACGTCAACATTGGCACCTGCGGTGTCAACACCGTCCGTCTCCGACCCATGCTCATCTTCGAGGAGTCTCACAGTACGTTTTCTTCCACGCAATTACTTCTACCATTTTTTCCTGATCGTATACTAACTGCATCGTTCACAGTCCCCACACTGCTGGCAGCACTGGAGAAGGTTATTGAGAGCATGTCACTGATTTGGTGAGGAAGCATTTGTTTTCCCTAAACAAGCCCATATACATAAGGGCAGGCTCTGGGCGGTCTGTTAATAATGAGATAGAAATATGAACCTTTAATGATTGATGCCAACTGCTGCACCGTCCATGTTCCTACGTGCCGCAGTCCGGACAGGCCATCGGTCGGCCGGTCGCGTCTTGCTCCTCCCGGTCCGCCGCCGAGCCGTCGTTGAAGTGTTGTGTGTATGAAGAAGAAAGGTGCTCCGGCGCCCTTAGAGGAATTTTCTTGCGTGTTTTTCCTTAGTTTTCCTTTGTTTTCTTTGGGGATTCATACGGGCGAAATCATTTGCAGAGCAGGGAATCAGAATGTTGTACGATTTTTGGGATGGCGAGCGGAGAAGGTGACGCCTTGAGGCTGGCACCACACGCTCATGATAGAAGATATACATAGGGTAGCAATACGGACAGGGTAAAATATGGGATAATTGCATTATGAAACTATCTCGGGCCGACCTGGCAATGTGAACTCAATTCAGTGGCAAGGCTTCCAAGAAGAATAGCTTTGGTCAGACGAGAGCCACGCCCGCTTGCTAATTAAACTGGTCCAGCCCCCTGGCCGTACGTATTTACAGGGCATGAAATGGCCTTTTCAGTGAGCTTGGTGCCGGAGTCGCAGTCACCAAGCGCACGTTGCTGGTGAATGTCTGGCTGGTCACGACTCAATCACCAAACCATGGCATCGGGTGCTCGGCATACTCAGTCTCAAAGATCTATCGTGTCTTCCGATAGAGATCATCAAGACAACACTAGGCTTACTCATTCATCATGATTAGAATCCCGGTGCTCCCGTAATAATTGCCTCCAGCTTGGGCTAGAAGCACGGTAGATGCACTATGAGGTTGGGGATATTGACGCAGTCAATCTCACTCGTAGGCAAGTGCCCAACTGCAAAGCCTTCTAATTTGATTAGTCAAAAGGGTCGAATCCTTGCTTAGCTAGATTGTGGGGTTTCTCAAGCTGTTGTTAGTGACTTGGGCACAATTTATCCTACACGTAAACTTCGCAATAGGCGCGGCTACATAACGAGATTGAGACGCAGACATAGAAGTCTATTTAGATAATGTAATAGAGCGTAAACCATGAGTTAATGGTAGACTATTTCAGAATTACATCCTGATTCAGTGTTGGCCAGCTTATGACTTGTGTCGAAGTACCACTATAGAGCCAGTCTGATAATACTGAGCGAGATCTAATGTACCCCTTGCGCAATTTAGAGGTTATGAGAATCCAAGAACCCCAACATAACCTCATATCCAGCAGAAGCATTCTTCGACAGTCCCGGCGCGTGACCAGTGTTGGGTTGTAGATAGTAAGTGGCGTTTGAGTGAGGGAAGATCCTGTTCGCTTCCGTCGGGTCGTAGATGCCCCTGCAGTCGCCTCTGCAGACAAAATTGTCAAACTCGCCAATGAAGAACTGTAAAAATGTAAGTCAGCTGGTTCCTTTAATTCCACCTAATCAGAGGATGCACCGCCGGCATTGAACACACTCACCTGAACCGGGCCCTTGAAATCTTCCGCGACCAAATATGAACTCAACCCTTCCGAGGCATACTCACCCAGGGTCTCGGGCTGCTTGATCTTTTCGGTATAGGTCAACAGTGCTGGGTCCAAGCTTCTCTTCTGGAAAAACAACTTCTGAAGATCAGCCTTGTTTGATAGAACAAAGTAGCCCGAGCCATATTCACTAAAACGAGCGGGGTCATTCTCCTTGGGGTACTCGTGGTCGTAGTGCAAGACGTCAATCATCTGCGCAAACGGAATAGTATTGGGGTAAAGGGCTGTCAACACGGCGCCATCGCTGAGCTCGGGGTACCGCGCAAGCACATTTTGGATGAGGAACGAGCCGAAGGAGTAACCAATCTGGACGACCTTGGAGGGCTCGAAGTCAGAAACGGTGGTTCTGGAGCTGGACAACACCTTGGATGAGCTAATCAGCTTTCCACTACGCGCAATCTTCGTCAGGCTCGCCAGGATCTCGATCTCCGTTGGGATTTGAACTACGTCGTAGGCGTTTGGCTTTTGGGATTTGCCGGTGCCGAGACGATCGTAGGTAAGGATCGAGTAGCCCTTCTTCAGGGCCGCATTGACGTAGGAGTACTCATCCGGCTGAACCTCCGCGTCAAAATATCTGTATTCAAAAATGTATCAGCATTCTTTTGCTCTTTGATTTACTCGCGAATCGCGTCGCTGACCGTTTATCAAAGCCAAGGCCTGGGGTGGCAATCTGCAAAATATCCGCTTTGGGGCCCTTGTCCGATGGGACGCACAACTGGGCATTGATCTTGAATATATCTTTGATAGGATTATCCTTGATGACACGGTCCCTAGCTGGGAGAGTAGTCCGTGTGGAAACCCACACAGTCCAGTCGATGGCGTCGATGGTGCTGTCAACTCGGGGCTGGTCGAAAATCTGGTTGGTTGCAACAATAGGGACGGGAACCTCGAGTTCAACACATCGCTTGGTGTTTGTAGTGGCTGCACATGCTACGGCTGGAATCAAGGCCAGAGCCCCAAGCGAGGCGAGATGGAGAATGGCGTTCATCATGTGCTTTGTTGTCCTGGTCTGCGAGTTGCTGTGAATATTTGGCTGCTTTTTCTACTTTGGCCTAATTACTAGCAGGAACAGTTGTTCTAATTTATAGTCAATTTTACACCGCTCATTATTTATTCTCTTTCGTGCTGACTTCTTTCATCTTCGTGACGCGAACTGCGACTCCTTGAACGTGCGTTTGGCGTATTCGTTTCGGTGCGCGTTTGGCGTAAGAAAGCATCACAACGTGGATGGTACCCTTCAACGTGGGAATTAGGTTGTGTAATCAATTCGACTGTCATCACACACCGCACATGTAGCTACCAAGAAGAAATGATGCTGACAACAGCAAGGTACATTACTATCACCGGGTAGTGATGTGCTACGAGGCAAGTCAGCAGAGCCCCTACCTGAGGACATGCAGAGCTCGTGGTTCAATGGTAACTTGTAGATTGAATGGAACTTCAATAAATCACCCTGCTGACTTATTGCGGTCAGCAGCGTCTCGAATACGCTTGGGCGGAGGGATTTGTCATGCGATGAATCTTGTTTCGTACTTTTCAAGCCCTACCAGCCTTTCCTCAAGCTGAGAGGTTCCTCTTAGACGATGTCTTCTGGCCACATGCAGTCCCCTGATTCAGCAATACAGCCCGAATTTTGACTTCATAGCTCTCCGCATCCGCCCATGTTGCATCTACGCGGGAGTTTGCTGTTAACTCCGGTCTTGAGCTCTAATGATACCTCCGCCATCGCATACAACACGAAGATCCCGGTTTCTTTCATCACCCGATTCTGAGACCCGACACACGACAATCAATACCACCTTTCGCCGTCCATACCGAACGTCTGTCAGCTTCGGGATCAAGGTCAAGGCTGCTGCATGGACGCGGGAGATGGTCTTTGAAGAAGACTCTACTCTGCTTGCCACCGCCCGCCCGTAGCATAATCAACCCTCAAATATTTGTTGCCACCCACTTCCCTCAATAATCCAATTTATTAGACTCGCTAGAGACAAGAAGATACACTGCGTCGATGCCACTCTCCGCTCATCCCGGAAACTCCGACAAACGGTAGACTTGAACTTGCGGGTACAAAGAAAGACCAACCACACAGACCCAGCTCGAAGATACCCGTGATTGATAGCGTATCCGAATGGAACAAGATAGACAAAAGGTGTAAGGCCCGTCGAGAATTTTGTTTCTTCAGTTGCTGATGGGCGCCAGCATGGGGAGGAAATAGGGGGCAGTGGAAGCCTCGTTACATCTGAGATTGTTCGATTTTATCAAGGAACATACGCTCTCATTTTTTTTCGCGCTATGTTTTTGATCATAGTCTTAAATTACGTTACTTCTTCTGGTTATGGTTACATGTTTTGGTTGATCACGAGTAGAAATATCGGGAATAAAATAAAGAAGCTAGCTAAGCTGCAAGATATGGAACCGTATAATACTACTGTTTCTTCCCGATAGATCCTACCATGATATTCTCAGCTATTGATGGTAATTTCATACGAAGCCGTCTAACAGGACATGATAAGAAGCATATTTTCCCGTGTCCCCTGCAAGCACATCGGACTACTAATACAGCCAAGAATGGGAAAGATTGACAAGAATCTAATTTATCATTCTTTGGGTACGAGAAAGCTAGCTAGAAGTCCTCTAAATTGATATGAACAATCGAGCGACACTTAATTCTACCCCTTTAGAGTCGGACGGCAGCCAGGGTGTTTTCTCGGGTGGAACCCGGAGACTCGCCTTGAAAATCCTCGGATGATACCCCGGTGCCTCTTTTGGAAAATTTTAACGAGGCAATATGAGGTCATCAATTCTCTAAAAGTGGTCATCCAATGCAAGTCATGTCAGGCAATGGGAAAAGCATGACTAGGTCTCGTTGAACACGAGACGGAAGTATGCTTTTAATCCGGGCTGGATTGAGTTAAACGCTCACGGGAGCCTATCTGAAGTGAGAATGATCCGAAACGCACAGGGGCTCCCAGCATTTGTTTCATCATACTCAATGTTGATCTTTTATTACCTTCCGCATTGGGGGACGGACCATCGAGTTGCGCAAGCTCAATGAAGTTTACCCAGTGGTGAATTGTTCTGATAGAAACCCGTTTAGTTACCATTTCAGTAAAAAGAGGGTATTCAAAGCGAAGCTCGTATAGAGTTGCTATTCACTCTCCAATCCCACCATTAGGAGCGTGTCCTCACACGGAACATCATACTTAGCTCCTTAGAGTGAAACAAGAACAAAACAGGGTTGTAGCTAGATGCCAAGGGCAATTAGAAGTGGCAGTCGTCGCTGCATCCACCTCGTAAATGACCGGCGAGAAAGGCATATTTAAAGCCGCCACAGTCGCTGTTTAGAAAGTCAGTCTATGTGTAGCATCATTAAAGCCATCTATACTCCCTAGTACTCACTGCTACTAGCCTACCATGCGTGTCACACTCGTCTCCGCACTGTTGTCCATTTCTCCTTTGGCCTCCGGGCTGGATATTTCGGATGCTAAAGATTCAGGAGAATGGAAAGTCGCGAGGGACGCGCCAGAGGTTTCTAGTAGAGATACTACTCTCTGGAACAGACCAGCAAAGCGACAGAGCGGCTGGAGCCCACCTTCAAACTTAGCGACACCACTAAAGGAAGTTTGGGACCACTGTCTGAATACCTATTCAAATGGCCTTTTTGGCTTCAAGAACTACGGCTGGGATCAAATCAAAGCCACGGAAGGGTATGAAAATGCATTGAATATTGTTCACCTCTCCAGTTGCTGCGTCTTCAGCGTGAACTAACAGAGCTATAGAAAAATCAACGTATGCGTTCGATGGGAATCTTCGACAGCCGTAACAGAGGCCCAGCGCACCCAAGTCGCCACCGCTGTCAACAAGCAGTACCAAAAATGGTTCTCGTGGCTCTACGGCTATGATAACTTTCCTTACTCAAACATCCAGGTTAACGTCGTTGGCTGGGCTGTTAAGGATGCCTCCTTATTGCAAGGATCAACTTCTAGCATTACCGTCTACACTGATACTGACAGTGGCGGCATTCCTCAGTGCGCCGAGGCATGTGGTCGGTTTTTCCACCAAGATGGAGATTATAGCGGATGTCCCGGCGGTAGTGCAAGCCACTACGATAACTCTCTGTGGCTTACTGACGGCTTCAGTGGTGGTGCTGGTGGTGACTGGGGCCAGAGAATTGGCCGCGAGTACTTTATGGGTGCTCTTAGCACTGACAGCATTCATATCTTACTCCATGAGATGGGCCACACCTTCGGGCTTGACGACTTCTATGGTAAGTGCTCTCCAGAGCATATAATCTGTTTCTTCCCTTTTCCTAGACTCTGCTTTTCTAACAGACAATAGACTGGACACCAACCGGTATCTCCAACTTCATCATGCTCGCAGGTTCTTCTTCCGTCATCACGGACTTTGATGGATGGATGCTCCGGAACTGGTGGTATGAGCTCTCCCGCAACCGTGGGTGGCAGAGCTAGAACTGATGGCTTGTCTTTGATACTGGATTTACTCTGGCCCAATACCAGCATTCAGAGAAGAATTGGGCAGGTCCCAAGTAGTCAATTTTCAATACAAAGCTTATTCCCGTTGCATGACACAATGGAGCATCTCAGTAAAGGCGAACAACTGAATCCATGCAAATATCCCAGCTGTGTATGACCTAGTTCTTACTATGTTTGAATAAACCGGATCATTCTAAGGGTGGGTTAGATTATTCCTTGCCTTGACTCATTTCCATTCCGCCAAGAATCCCAAACCTCGAGAGTCGAGGTTCCTATTAACCTCGGCCGTCGTGACGTCCCAAAGCCCCTGGCGTTGTTCTTCATCATCCAATACCGGATGTTGTGTTGTGGTGACCCCAATCGGCTCGAGATAACTCCCCTTAAATTTCCCAAAACTCTGCCGGGGCTCCTTAGCAGTGGCTGCCCAAAGAGAGTGATAGGACCCTTGGTCCGGTGTCAATCGACCAACTCGAAGAAGAGGCCTGAATAGCGGCTTCAGAATGTCTTCCGCGCCGTCTGTCGCCACTCCGCCTGGATTTAGACTAAGACAGAGGATAGGTAGATTATGCTCGTCAACGCGCTGTTGAAGTCCCTTAATAAACAACATGGTGGCTACTTTAGCGACGCTATAGCGGACCATGTCCATTCCGAAGAATTGGCTGAGGAGGTATTCCCACCGCCAAGGGTAGTATGGAACGACCTTGTGAAAGCAGGCGGGAGTAGTCAAGCCAAACTCATAATTTTTGGGTAGGAATATTCCGGGTGTGTTTGAAGCAATCGAAACTACCCGAACATCCGGATTCTTCTCCGCGCATGCCGCCTTCAATAAGGGGAATAATCCGTTTGTGAGAACAAAGTGCCCAACATAGCTTCGAAGTGTGTGTCAGAGAATGAACGCCTCGCCGTAGAGAAGCAAACTCACTTGACTGTCATGACCTCATCCCATTCACTCTCCTTGCTGGACTGGCCTGTGACCATTCCTGCGCCGTTTACTATGTGACTCATAAAAACTCATTAGTCATATGAAATGCATTCGACGGAGGCCTAAGCATGAACAAGGACAACACACTCAGAATATGGATGCTGCTTTCGTTTGCCTTTACTTCCTTCACAGCATCCATCACACTATCGATATTCCCAAGGTCTAATTTCAAGAAAACGAGGCGGTCATGAGGGAAGTTCGTATCCTCTTCCAAAAGCTGCTGTTGAGCTTTGTTGAATCTTTCTTTTGATCGGGCGCCACAGTAGACTTTAGCTCCATGTTTAGCAAGATGCTTTACCGTATGAATACCAAGTCCTTTACTATAAGGGAGATGAATGTTAGTAATCTGGTGTGAAAAATGCCTATGTTAGAGAAGCACGAATACGCCACGCACTTAGAGCCAGTCACAATAACCACCCTACCCGTCAAGTCGGGCATGTTGTCCGGAGTCCATGTTGGTGTCATTTTGAGGAGAGGCAGCGAAAAGAGATAAATGCCCTAGTCAATTGTATAGAAGAAGAGAAATCACAAGGGATAATGACACCGTAATATATACATGTCTTATCATCCTCCTTACCAACCTACTACTAAGTACTCCTTAGATTATGACACCAATAGGTTGCTAGCCAATGCCGGCGCGCTCATCCCGATTCTAAGGCGAAGTCCGCTGGCCATCTCGTACCTCGCTCCAATGATCGGGTAGCTCGATATGATATTGATTGCTAAGAAGCACCGTAGTTCGAAACCAAACATGAGCCAAATCCTTACGCCGCTTGCTCCGCTACCACTCTCCGAGGCTATGCCCTATTCTGCAAATGCTTTTCTTGGCAAAACCATGTCAAAGTCCGCTCCCCCAGGCCAAGGCAAAAACGTCAACAAATTTCATCCGCAATGTACAAACGCGCAGCCAATAAGTCTCCGAAATGAATCATCAAGGTCTAAATTTCTGCCGTGCCTATAACCCCTCCCTTCTCACTCTGGAAAGAGTCTCTGCCTGAATTTTTGAAGCTTCGGGGCTACCACATCGTCAAACCGAGGGCATGCAACTGGCTTTGGAGCCCGATGGTGTCTCTTGGCAACAGACATGTGCTTGCTCCTATTCTCACGGCTGAGAATTTCATCGATATGCGCTGGGCCGATGTTGGCATCTGTCGCATTCTCCAACAAGAAATCTAGCAAGCAGGTCTCTCTGCCCTGACCAGCGGCTATGCACGCATATTCCAGCGCTGACATTCGTGGGTTTGCATCTTGATCAGGCACATAGCCGAGCCAGGCACCGTGCCGGAGAAGGATCTTGACCTGCTCGCTCACGCGCGATATGTCGTTTACCCTGCGGTACTCTTCACCCCATTGGCTAAAGAAGAGGGCAGATAACAGAGTGTACCAGCTGCGCGGTTCCTCGAGGTAGAGTGTCGCATGCCACTGATCAGCCCCTTCAGGTCGATTGCATCTCAATACCCTGTCGGGGATTGTAGCGCCACGCTCGAGAAGGAGACTTGTACAGGCAGGGTTATCTGAAAATGCGGCCGCGTAGAATAACGGCGGTGCTCCGATGAGAATCTCCGTGCCTTGCGGGATAGTGTAGCGGTCACTATTGACATCTACTCCACGGTCAAGGAGCTCGGCAATGAACTCTTTCTGAAGGCTCAGCGTCCTGTCCGAGGGTCGCTGCTTCTTTTGCACCAGGCACGCATGGAGTATCGTCAGAGAAGGCCTCAGCATATCATTAGCAGGGGGCGCTGCTCTCCAGTGGGCCAGATTCCCGCCAGCCCTGACATACATCAAAGCCGTTGACCAGTTCTGGTGCTTCAACACATGTCCCAGGGGTGAGCGACCGTTGGTATTCAGCTCCTGGACGGAGCCCCCGGCGGCGATGAGACGTTCCACGACACGCAGCGTGTTCTGGTTTTCCTTCCACACGCCAATGCAGGCAAGATGAAGAGCGTTTTTACCATCACGATCCACGTGGCTGTTGACCCCGTTCCTCAGTAGGTATTCGATGATATTTGCCTGGTGATGGCGGCTAGCACGAAGGAATGGAGGTTCGTAATTGCTCAAATCCTCCTGCTGGCCATTCTTGCTGAATGCAATGAGCCCAGTGTCCAGATCTACCCCGTACTGGCGGGCTCTGATCACCGTCTCGAGCCTCCCGACACGGGCAGCCCACAATACGCACGAAGCACCTGGTTTGTCGTGCTTGAGGTTCCGCACGTAGAGCTCGCGATTGAGCGTCTCGTGCAGGTGGCGGCTGGTGCGGCACAGTCTGGAATGGGATGTCCTGTGAGGCACAATCGTTTTGGGGGCGCGTCCTGAGGATGTTGCCTCCCAAGTGCAGTTATCGACAATGCGAAGAAGGATCTCGGTCGGAAGCCCCTCAATCAGCGACGTGCCGGCCTTTGGTTTGGTTACTTGAGGCATGTTGAGGCAGAGCCTGAATGGCGACACGCAGGCTTGCAAAATGAATTATCGAGATGCCGCTGTTGCCTTGAAATCGTGCGGGGTGAATTAAATAAATACCTTGTCGAGACAGGAACGGCAGAGGATTGTTGATGGCGGCCATGTTGATGATCGCCTAACCATCAGCTGGTGAAGGAACTTGGCTGGTGATTGGATCATGATGGGGATGTTGACGCTACGCGCTGCACGCTTACGAGGCATCTAGGCAGCCGGGCAACAAGACCAATAACTACTTCTGCCTAATTGTTGCATTGGAAGATCGTGTCTTCCAACGAGTAGAAGTCGCGAGTAATTGTTGGCTGATTTGACACCCAGCTTTTCGTTTTCCTTGGCTCGCTGCCCACGGTCGTCATGGGTAAATCAGCTCTCCCATTGATTGTCATTACCGTCATTATTCCATCCGTCGTATTTCGTGTCACTAGCCTTCATTGGCCATCACGCATTTGGAATTTCTCCAACGGCCAGGCTTCCAAGTCATTTGTCTTGTTGTCATTGGTGTTGTCTTTGCCGTTCCCCAGATCGGGGACCTTGAGATGTTAAATTTGTGGTATTGAGCGTCGAGAATGCATCCTTCTTAATAACAGAATATAAGAGAGTAGAATAAGGAGAGACAGGGGCGGTAATACTGGGTAATCGACCGAATTAGCGACAGGGGCAAGCGCGGGGCAAGCAGCTAGAATAAAACACAACACCAACACGCGACATCACGTAGTTTATGCGCGTAGTATGCTTTGGTCGGCAATAACAACTGCAATAATAGGCAAAATTATTAAATATTTTAAGAAGATTATCTTGATTCCTTTCTTCTCATTAGGTTGTATTTGTCAATCTTGTTTGATACTTGGCGATGCCGTAATGGTTTGATAATAGAACAGGGCGGAACTGTCGCCAAAATCTAGCTCGTCGTTTTAGGACATTCATAGGAAGGATTGATATCAATACAGATGCCCTAGTGTAATGATTGAGAACTAATATGGTACCATGGACAGAAGTGTATCTACACAATCCGTTCAAAGGCACTTTAGCGAAAGCAGAAAAAGTTCAATATCAAGTGCAAGGTGTGTAGGGTAGGAGATGCCTTGGAGAGTCAAATAACAATCTGCATTTCGGGAGCATTCGGTAATTATAAAATAATGCTTGGCTATGTAATCTATCGTATTTCAATGGATTAATACACGCATTGTCTCGACTTATTTACGTATTGGAAGCGAGAAGCGGTTGGTCATGCACGGAAGATGCACTCCGATCCCCAGATCCTTGAATGGAGGTTTGTTGAGATTTGAGTGAGTCTGCTGTAGAGGAGTCTCAGATATAATGGAACCTTGGTGGCTATGGTCTCAACACTATTCCTGCCGGCAGAAAATGCGAGTCAGGGCGAGGGGAACACGGCGTAGCACAGTGGGTAGTGTCTTGGATGCGAAGAAAATGAAGATCCGATAGACCTGTATCGTGAAACAAGAGGATCTGATTTTACTATTCTATTATGGCGTGCATCTAAGTGAGTGCGGTTCGCCTAGCACATGTATTAACTCCGATTTGTGCACCTTAATCTAGATATTACACCGTGGTCGGCAAATGAGACACTGGGCCTTGCATCCCAGCAGGCACCCAATAATGGCACGAGGCTTACGCTGCTGAAACCGAAGTGGCAACACAGCCGACTTTACAAGAGTCATGTCGATGAGCGATAAACTGCATCGGAACAATGTCTTAGTTGGCTCTTCGTGATCCATTTGGCTAGTTTAGGGTTGAGGCCGGACATTGAATAATCCACTTTTCGATTTCGACCTCCCGGTGGACTGGTCTGGTCGGCCGGCCCTGTGATGATTATACGCGGAGTGAGTTGGCTGAGGGGCATAAACGGTTTCATAGATGCGCTGATCTCTCCAAAACCCAACCCGTCTAGCGCCAGGGGGAACCCTTGGTGCCCGCAAGGATGCCCGACCTTGCGGCGTCTAGACTCGCTCTACGTGTTCCGACCCAATGTTTTGACTTTTTGATGTCCTCATTGTATGAGGCTTATTGTCCTCGTAGGTACGCCGACCGAACGGACTACATGCTTTGTTTCACCATATATGAGCCCACATGGAATGAATTCAGTGGGCGGCTGTTAGCCAGCTCGCTCTCTTCGCGCCGAGCAACTTGTGTTAGCGCACCGAAAAAGCAAGCTCTGGGGCGTACATAGTATCGAAAGTAAATTCGATGGCGTGTTTGAGATTGAAGCGGATTAACCCCTGCAGCGCCAACGCCGCGGCTGGAGGGCCGGAGGGGGCAGAGCGACGGCACAATCCGAAGGAGTGGCCAGGCAGAGCCTTGGGGGTTAGGTAATGTAATTGCTCCTAGCCGAGGCGTACGCAGGGAATAATAGTAGGTGAAGAGGCGGCAACCGAAAGTAAGGGGAGGCAAAGATGAAGCGAGCCCTGTCGACTCGTCACCCATTGTCTCAGCACTGGGACGAAATTTTAAAAAAGCTGCAAGGCACATTCTCCACCACCTGTCGCTACTCCCGCGTCTTGGCAGGGCGGCGATGTCAAAAATGCGACCTTAGCGGCCATCGACAACTGAATCGACGGTGATGGACAAACCCAACGGTGATCGACAAGTGGTCGGACCGGCATCTGGTTAGGCACAAAGACCTCCCTTCACTTGATAGTATACCACCCTTTGTCGAATTCTAGACCTCAATAGCAACCGAAATCTCCTTAAATTATCAAAGGCTCCAGGCGTTTCATTGTTTGATGACTCCCCGACCTGCCCAACTCGGTAAGATCCTGGCCCATGCTACGGATCCCCCATGATTATTGGTGCTGTGTAAGCGTGGCCCTCGCGTGCGTCTAGCACAAAATAGCAGAGACTCCTGTCAAAAGCAAGGCTCCTCTTGAAACACGCTAGGATCTCTGTTGTCGCACGTTGGCGGTGTTAGATCACGCCGGAGATGTCGCCACAGGCACATGAGGGAGGGGACATGGCCGGCAGCTGGCCCCTATTGACTGCAACCATGATTGATG